ACGTGGTAGCCTAAGCCCAGGTGAGGAGCTCTGCCAGGCTCATGCAGTTGTTCCTCGGCATGGCTGTGAGTCCAGGCCCTTCCCTTCCCCCTATCATATATAATAGCACTGAGTAAACCCATATCAGAACATGTTTGATTATGAGTGGAACCAGATAGAGAAACAATAGCCACTGTGATCCAGAAAACCACACCAGCAAAGAAAAGTCCGTCTGGGTGGAAATAATTGAGTCTTCTACATTCCCTGACCAGGAAGTGTCCTTCCTCTGGCCTGAGCTAGGTCAGGTGGCTTCACTGTGCTGGGAGTACTCAGATGAAGCCCATGTTTTAGAAGTCATGACCTTCCTGATACCCACGGCTCTTTCTCAGGGGACATGCTGCTTACAGCTCAGCAGTTAACATCCTTGGCAATGACACCAGTGTAGGAGCCACGTACTTCATGACCTACCACACCGTGCTTCAGACCTCTGCGGACTTTATTGATGCCATGAAAAAGGCTCAACTTGTAGCCAGTAACATCACCAAAACCATGGGCATGAAGGGTAGTAATTACCGTGTGTTCCCATACAGGTAACGTGGGGATTTTATAAACAAGCGTTTCCTGGGAAGAGGGTCTAACCCTGGTGGGGGCAGGGGGGAGAGGATTTGTCCTGGTAGGATACTAGCCTTCAGCTTTGCTTTGGACACCTGTGCCATCCTGAGCCCCAGAGACAATATAAATACATTGAACACATGCTGGATAGGCAGTGTAAGAATTGGAGTCTCTACCATGGTCTGAGAGGTGCAAACAACTGGATTTGTGCTGTGTCACACCTGAGAGTCTCATTGTAAAATCGTGCAGGCCAGGGTTTGAAGAGCAGGCCTGTTCTATCGGCCCTCAGCTGATGGAATCCCTGTCTTCTCATGACCTAGAATAGGCAGACTTTTTATTAAGGTTGTTGGGGTTTTTTTTGTTTTGCCCTGCCAAGAAGATGATTATGTATGAAATTTGAAAAATAGAGAAAGATAAAGGAAACAAGTGTTTTCCTAATCCAACCGCTGTGATCTTGCCTAAAGAATAAAGACCTATTTTTTTGTTTTGTTGGTTTTTTTTTTTTTTTTTTTTTTTTTGAGGGAGAAAAATGGCCTGGGATAGTTCTCTGAATAGATCGAGATTTTCTGTTTCCAGAAAATACTGTGGAAAGTTCATTGTAAATGTCCTATAGGAATATAGCAATTTTATATACAATTTTATGGCAATTTATAAAATGCACACTTTGGATTCTTACCAGGCACTCCTTCAGTGGTTGGGGCCCAGCAGAAATCTCCCTGAATTGTAAAGCCAGGAAGGGGTGCTCAGTCTTGAGTGGTGTGGTCACACAGATTTGCAGGTGTGGCAGGGGACTAGGCGAGCTCCCAGGAGCCAGTGCAAGCTGTAACCGTACTCCTCTTCCTCCCCAGTGTGTTTTACGTCTTCTACGAACAGTACCTGACCATTATTGATGACGCCATCTTCAACCTCAGCATGTCCCTGGGATCCATATTTCTGGTGACCATGGTGATTCTGGGCTGTGACCTGTGGTCTGCAGTCATCATGTGCGTCACCATCGCCATGATCCTGGTCAACATGTTTGGCATTATGTGGCTGTGGGACATCAGCCTGAATGCAGTTTCCTTGGTCAATTTGGTGATGGTGAGTCCTAGCCTACTCTTTAGTTTGTCCTGAACTCCTGTGTCACCCGTGTGGATTGATTCCACATAAGCTCTGAAGGAACCCTCTTGCTCTTGGGCTGCCTCTTAACTCAGTGCCCCAGTGAGTGAAATGAGCACTGCAGGGCAGGGCACGGGGTGCATCAAGGGAGGCATCGTCTGGAGGTAGAAGCAGTTACTCAACCCCTGTCATCTCAGCACTCAGGAGGCTGAGATCGGAGGAGCTCAAGTTTCCTGGCACCCTGGGTTGTGTACACTGGCCTCAAACTTTTAAGCCTCCTGTCTCAAACTAAAAAAAATGAATTTGTTTAGTTCTTCTAAACCTTTTGCTTGCAGCCATAGTAACTAGTGTGTCCCGTGCCTATACTAATGGAAATGTGGTAAGATTAGCTCCAGTCCTCTGCCTTTATTCTGAAGGTACTGGAAAGGCTTGCAGTGACAGCAGGGTGTCCACTATTTGCTTATAAAGTTGCCCTTCCCCGTGGAGCCTTCTCTACCATTGCCAGGAAGTATTGAAGATTATGGGTGGTTGCTAGTGGAAGGTGAAACCTGCATCTGTGCTTTCAGATGGGGAAGTCTTAGATTGATACGTGCGCTGGTTTGGGGAGGGGGGGAGGCAAACTCTCCTTAGGATCTAGAATGTTCCTGCTACAACTTGGGTGTGTGACAGGGTAGTGGGAGTTGTATTGTGAAAGGGGCTATTTAAGGCTCCTGTAGCACCAGGTGCCTGGTAACGCTTCTCTCTTGGGCAAGGAATGGCTGCTTTGGATCTCCAACTGGAAAGATCATTGTAACTTATGAAAGCACTTTATTCCAGAGCTGTGGCATTTCCGTGGAGTTCTGCAGCCACATAACAAGAGCATTTACAGTGAGCAAGAAAGGAAGCCGCGTGGACCGTGCTGAAGAGGCACTGGCTCACATGGGGAGCTCTGTGAGTGTCCTTCTTAGGAGTGTGGGCAGGCGGGGCAGCATGCTGGGTGGCCCAATGACTCTCAGAAGAAATTAAGTTCAGTGGGCCAGAATTTGGATTCTACTTAGGCTGCAGCTCCCAAGGATCACAAATTCCACAAGATGGCTATCTCCTGTATAGCCCACAAATTCTTTAGAACTGAACTGGCATGCAATGAAGCCACTATGCTCCAGGACCCAGTGACAAACTGTACTTGATGTCTGTCTGGGGTTCTTAGTCCAATTCTGTATCCTGGAATATAGACCAGAAGTTACTGCGACACTTAAAAAAAAACACCACCACCACCATTAAAAGTGTAATGACCACAGTTGAACATTATGGGTGGACAACACCCAAAATCCAAACACAGGAGAATCACAAGTTTGAAGCCTGCCTGGACTATATAACCTTATCTCAACATAAAAAAAAAAACCTTAAAACTTTAGTTTAAAAACAGAAGACAGTATGTATGAGAAATACACACCTTTTGCCCTTAAAATACCTTCTTAAAACTTTTCCTCCAGACTCATAGAGCAGCAGGTACAATGTAGGTGGAACACAGTGCTACTCTCAGTAACTGGGAAAGCTGTCCTATACCATGTGGATCTTGAATATGAAGATGTCGTTGAGCCAGGGGCCAGTGGCTCACACCTGTAATCCTAGCTCCTCAGAAGGCTGAGATCTGAGGATCGAGCTTCAAAGCCAGCCAGGGCAGGAAAGTCCATGAGACTCTTATCTCCAATAAATCACTAGAAAACTGGAAGTGGCACTGTGGCTCAAGCGGTAGAGCGCTCGCCTTGAGCTGAAGAGCTGAGGGACAGTGCCCAAGCCCAGAGTTCAAGCCCCACAATTGACCAAAAGAATAAAAAAAGATGTCATTGTATATGGAGATGTTAATGATGCTAATAATTTATCTCTTCTTTTAGGTATTCAGTGGAATCACACTTACAAAATTTGGAGGGATTGTGGTGCTAGCCTTTGCCAAATCTCAAATTTTCCAGATATTTTACTTCAGGATGTATTTGGCTATGGTCTTACTGGGAGCTGCGCATGGACTCATTTTTCTCCCCGTCTTACTCAGTTATATAGGTGAGTTATTTTTTAACAGGTGGCACAGGAGGATACATATCACTAAAAGAAAAAGTCTTAGAACATTTTTTAAGTACTTGTACTAATTGTCATTTCATAAATACCACTAACAATTGTCTTTAAGAGGGTAACAGCCAGGTGCCAGTGTCTTACACCTAGCTACTCAGGAAGCTGAGATCCAGTTATCATAGTTCAAAGCCATCCTGGGCAAAAAAAGGTCTGCCAGACTCTGATCATTTCCAATCACAGCAAAAATGCTGCAGGCACAGATCAAGCACCAGCCAAGCAAGCACAAAGACCCTCAATTCAAAAAGAGCTGAAAGAAGAAAAAAATGGAGTAGGGGATTAAAGGGACATTTCTGTCCAGAGATTTCCTGATTGTACCAACTCTTTCAATAGAAATCACCGACGTGTTTTTTTGGAGGTCCCATTTATTTGTGTAACAAAAGCCTTTTAAAGTCAGATTTTAAGCCAATTTGAAGGTTTGCTGGTTCCAGGGCCCACACTGCTACTGAGAGATGTATGCGTACAGCCAGGCCAGAACCTGAGCAGAGCTGTAGAGCAGCTCACTTCCCTGACTGCTTAGAATACTGCCTCTGCTACTCTTCTTAATTGGAGATTGTCCTTATCTCTGATTACTCTGCCTCGTATTCATGACTCCTGGTTGAAAACAGTATAGTACTGACTTAGTGCTGGCCTAACAAGTAGTACTACCAAAAGGGGGATGTGGGCATCTCTGGGAGATTATTTAATAGAGAAAATAAGCCTAAATTACTTTTTTTTTTTTTATAGGACCATCAGTGAATAAAGCTAAAAGACACACCACTCAAGATCCGTACAAAGGCACAGAGAGAGAGCGACTCCTGAATTTCTAGCCTCCCACAGAGTGTGGTAATGAACTTGAATGAACTGTTTCTAAGGACTGTCAGTTACCACTGGTGATTGGGCTGTCACAGCAGCTCCAGACTCAGGACCGCATGCTTGACTTGTGAAGCAGTATTGTGAAATCTGAAGGTGATTTTGGGACACTAAAGCTTCTTCGGAAAAATTGACCTTGGGCAAGAGGAAGGTCACATTGATCTGTGAGTGCAGCCTACTCACTGACCCTTTTTACAGGCCAATCTAGGCCCTGTCTCCTGTTGTTTAGGAGGGAGCCGACACACATGTTCTATGCCATATTTTTAGTAAAGTCCAGATGTTGTAGATACACTTTAATAACATTTTGTAGTTTAAAGAGCTTTATTAATGCAATAAATTAACTTTGTACACATTTTTATATAAAAAAAACTAGTAGTTTCAGGATGTTGTGGGCCTCAGAGCTTGATCTCCAAACACCTGTTTGAAAAAAGCAACATGGTCTTCACAGTGTTCTCCTACAAAAGAACAAAGACAGTACCTCATAAGTTGTGTCCGAGGCTTTAAAGTTGTTTTGTAATAAAATACCTTGTTTTCCTACATTTTGGGGTGGCCCCTCTTGTTGCAAAACAGGTACCTTCTCAACCCTTAAAAAGTGAAAGAGGGACTCTCAACCTATGGTCTCAGAACTCTGTTCCTCTCCTTCCTAAAGAAACCAACCTCAGATCTTACCACTATTTTAGAGATGAAAAGAATTGGCTCGTGCTTTTTGTCCAATACTGAAACTTATTGTCACAGTGTCTAGATTGCCCACAGTGGTTGCTGAATGTTTTGACCATAAGCATCTCCACTGCAAGTACCTTCAGATCCTGCCAGTGTGCAGATCCACTCGACTCCAAGTTGTGGGCTAGGCAGGCTCTTACAAACTCCACACAAAAGCCAATCCAGGAATCCTCCTCACTAAGGGGCTACAGACCCAAAAGTATGTCCTGCTACTCCTCCGTTTGTTCCTCCAGGTAGCCACAGCTACCTCCTAACTAGAGCTACTTTTACCTGGTGTGAAACTTGGGTTCCCTCGCAAACGCTGGTTTCGCTGTTCAAAAAACCGGAATATTGTGTAGAAAAGCATGTTGTCTTCAGTCTGCTTTGCAGCATCTAAAAATTTCCGGGCAGAAATGTTGTCATGGCCACCAATACCCCGGATAAACCTTAAGGCAGCTAACACTTGGTGTTTGGATAGAAGAACTTCCACTATTTCATCATTTGCTGTTGAAAGTCGCTGGAAGGAAGGGAGACAGATGCAGATCAGAACAGGCAACAGGAAGGGACTTTCATGTGGTCAGAAGCTATGATGAGCCAACGTTACCTTCAACATATCCAGAGACAGCTGATGGGCCGGAGGATAAAAACTCTCTAGGGACAACAGCAAACAGGCCTGAAAGACAATGCCAGACTAGCTTCAGCAGGAAGGTCATAGTCTTCTGTTTGTAATCACAAAAAGTAAAATTCTAGTGACACCCACCAATGGCTTGGAGTCACTGAGCACATGGTACTGCAGAAACTGGTGGAGCATGTAGAAGAGATTATGCTGGACGAGTGTCTTGATGACAAGTTCGTGTAAATAATGCTGGGAACAAGAGAAAGGACAAGGCATTTCCAAATCCCCCTGGCACAAAAGACTGAAAGCTGGCTGGGACTGTGGCTCCCTAACTCACAGGCAGAAGTTACAGCTGACAACAAGTATCTTCAATGCAGAGCACTCACAACATTCTGCATATATATAGACCTTTCTAACCCAAGTCTCTCCCTCACTGAAGATGGACACTGCTTCTCTGTAGCGCCTCTCATTCAGGATGCCACGAGGATTGGAAGGTACCTGTACTGCGATCTGAAACTGGTTCAGCGAGCGAATATACTCCATCAGCACAGCTATCACAAACTTATGTGGCATCTCCTGCACAGAAGAAAAAGCTTTGTAAATGTCAGAGATGCAAAAGGAGCTACTTCTAACTCCTATCCCCACCCACCTTCTGCTTCCCACCATAAAGGGGCTCAGGGTACTGTTTAACCACCTGTGATTATTTCTTAGATCCGAGTATCAGAGTCAACTTGAACTTGAGAGCACCAGGCCCTCCGCTAAGACGGCCTGTCTATTACAGTGCACCCTGCTACTGCCCACAACTCCCCATTTGGAGAACTCAGTCTGAGAGGCTGAAAGGCTGCAGCATACCTTGTTCTCCGTGAATGGTGACAGCACATGGGTATACACATCAGACTGATCCACCACGGCTTGGGTCCGCACTGGCCTTTTGAGAGGTGGGTTGCTCCGGCTTTGCCCTGCTTCCACTGCCTGAAATAATCACAAATGGTGATCTTACCCATCTTCTAAAGCAGTTGTTCAACTGCTGTTGCCAAAAGGACCAAATTCCTAGGTGTGAACTTTACAAGAGAAGACCATGATCTCACTACTTAGAAGAAACTTTTCCCACACTAGCTGGGAATAGTTGGTCATCTAGAAAAGACTTCAAATCTCAAGGGGGAGGAGGGTAGGGTGGGGAGGGATTAAGTCAGCCCAAGTCACATTTTACCTAACTTCTCAAAAGTCTTAACCAAGCTAATTTTCTTAACCCTGGATTAAATAGTATTTGATATGTAATAAAAATGAAATAGCTAGTTGCGTTCCTTGTTAATAAAAGGTCTAGCCGACAATAAATGAATGGCTCTTAACACGAATCCAAGTTTTTGTTGTATTTTTGTTGTATCAGGATTTGTAAGTGGTAATCCTGAGACCCCTAAATATAGCAAGAGCTGCAAGAAGACCCTGGTGGCTTTCCATGTTTCAAATCACTGGACCCCCTCCATGGATTCTGCAACTGTGGTTCAGGCCAAAACCCTTTGCTTCTACAGTCCCAGAGCCCCTTGTATCTTTGGTGAGAGGGTCACACTTCAGTGCTGAGGGCTCATGAAATCTGACAGCCACAGTGCAGGGAAGCTCTTCAGAAACTGCTGGAGAGGTCAGACCTATCGATTCCTACAGCTGAGTACCAGCAACAGGACTAGGCAAGGCCTAGCAAGGCCCAGTAGCCTTCCACAATCTGCTTCAGACCTGCCGTCCCCAAACAGCCAAAGCACAGTGGAGCTCTGGGCTTTTTGTTTAGCCATATCCACAGTTCAGGACTAATAATGTCCTTGAAGTGGCCCTCCCGCTTGTCCTCATCTTTCTTCCTCCTGGCTTCTAAAAACAACAGTACCTGGTGATAATAAGCCACACTCATTATTCCAACCTTTTACAACAAACTTTTGATGTCCACTAACTGAAAAACAATGTGCTAATACTTAACTATCACTGTCTAAGTGGGATACTGAATGAATTCTAGGATATCTTACTTTTACAGCTATTATAAACTAGAGAGAAAAAGGAAGGTGTGGCAAATAATGGAAATTATAATTTGCTAAGTCCAGGCTCATATAAAATAATGCAAAGCCCAGACCGAGGATCTACCTACATATAAGATCAAACATAGAGGGGGAGGGGGGAGGCTGGGAAGGGATGTGAAGGGTAAACAAAGGAGGAGGCTGCAATGCTTGGTAAGAAATGTACGCATTATCCTGCCCATGTAATTGTAACCCCTCTGTACAGTATGTTCACAAATAAAATTTAAAAAAAAAAAAAGATCAAACATAGATTTAAAATTTTTAAACAGCAAAACTGGGAAGGCAGGCACTTAAAAGTGAGACGTAGCCTTAAGTTGGTGGATGCAGGGCCTGCGGATGCATCAAACCTCAGTGACATGATGCTACCATAATCTCACACTACTCAGAGGATATGGGGCTGGGGGAGGAGGGAAGAGTCTTTTCCATAGTCCATCTAACTCACCATTGTGTAACTCTGTTCAGCGTCCAAGTACTTCTTATACTCCTGGTTGAGTTTGTCAAAAACAGTGGCTATCACAGGCAGTGTGGCTTTGTCTGACTCACTCAGCACTGGAAAGGATACAGTGTACACACAGATAAATGGCTTGTGTAATCTTTGGGATTTCAGCATGTTGCTGATAAAGCAATCTCAAAGAGACTAATACACACATTCCCTTAAAGGGCATTCAGAGAAATGTTATGTTTTAGACACCTGAAAATCACTCCAGATCCCTTTCTGGTGACTAAAGAAAATAATTATGGTAGATATCACAAGGTTCTGCCATGTGGTTAGTTGCTGAGGAGGGGAGTTGTTTTTGAGGAGGGAGGGGTCTCAATATATGTTTTCTGGCTGGCCCTGAACTCCTGGGCCTAAACTTCTCCCTTCTCACAGACTGTTTAAAGTGACAATATACGTAGTTCAAGAGTTGGATTCCAAAAGATGACTGTCTTTAAGCTAGGAATAAATACCACTGGCTATTAATGGAACCAAACCCATGGGGAAGGACTGGTCAACTTACTCTGAGAGCAGACAGACAGGATAACCATCTTGCACTCCTTCCTCTGAAGAAGAAAGTCCATCAGCCTGCCTTTATCTGGCAGGAGATTCACTATGGGCTGAAGTTTCACCTGGAGGTTCCATAGAAACCCTAGATTTTAAGAGGCAGCAAATTTAACAATATGGTGCAACCAAAACAAAAGCTCAGGTGGTTCCCTAAACATTTGTGGGGGGCAGAGAGATTGCAAGCACAGTTAATCACCCTCTGTTCCTAATCATCATGGAGCGGGGACACTGAGAACATGTTTGACAGCAAAGGGAGTGACACATGATCTTTGCAACCTCACAAGCAAGCTCTGCATTCAGAGACGCACACTAATGGCTCTTATATATGGGGGCAATTCCAAATGGCACCTTCCTCTCCATGGTACCTTTCAGTTTTTCAGGTAGACAAAGATGTACTGGGTGCCAGTGGCTCACATCTGTAATCCTAGCTACTCAGGTGGCTGAGATCTGAAGATCATGGTTTTACGCCTACATGGTCAGGAAAATCCATGAGCCTCTTATCTCCAATTAGTATCAAAAAAGCCAGAAGTAGAGAGCTGTGGCTCAAATGGCATAGTACTAGCCTTGAACAAAAAAGTTCAGGGACAGCACCCAGGCCCCTGAATTCAAGCCCCGGGACTGGCACACAAAGATGCTGGCATATCAACCTCAATCCTGTAACTCAGTTTCTCTGCTCTCAATCCACAGAGGAATTTCGTATTTCATCAACTTGCCAATCCACACATGCGAGCACCTCACTGACAGGCAGGAAGGTTGGTAGGGCCTTCCTTAACTAGAACTCTGCTGCACCAAAAATGATCAGAGTGACCACGTTCTCAACTCAAGCCAAGGTGAGGGCATAACTAACACATTCTAGATATGAAGTGAATGCCTACGGTATTAAAGCTCTCTCCTTGAGAATGTGAAGCTAAGACAGAAAAATACATGACTGACTCGATCAAAGTGGAAAGTGCTCTAAGAATGGCAGGGTAGGGAGGCCTCACCAGCAAGTGAGGAAGGGAACAGGATCCTAGACACATAGAACAGAAATGGCCACAGTACATGTGGGAATGGCAGAAGGATGGAGACCACATGCTGTTGAGTCTGGCTTTTCAGACTGGGCTTGTAGCAAGGAATGACCATTTTTAGTTGTTCCTTCCATTATAGAAACAGCATATGCTCATGATAAAACTAACAAACACTAGGGATGGGAGTCTAAGGAGGAAAGCAACTCTCTTCCAAGGCCAAACAAAGAGGTCATTTGAAACAATCACTGCCAAGTGGTGATTAGAGTCAAGAAGCACCATTCTCTAAGCAGACCTACCTTGGCTGGCGCTGATAATGATGTCAGGTTGAAAGACAATCCAGGATGAAGAGTCCACGTATTAATAGGAAATTCTAAATCGGGAATAAAAATGATCCCACTCCTATGTGTTCAGGCACCAAAGGAGCCCTAGGTGGTCAGAAAAGCTCCCAAGAGTGGCCCTTGGGGCCTTGCCCACAGCCCACTGGGGTAGGGCAGGGCAGGGAGAGGCAGGGGGTGTTCCAGGACCAGCCTCTGAAGAAGAGGTGGCCACTCTCCCCTTTGTGCACAGTGCCAAGGCCTTTGTGAAGGATACAGAGTTTACATGGAACAGGAGACTGGCTGGTCACAGCAGCAGGACCTACGAATTGAGAAAACAAGTGAGGCACAGCAGCAGAAAACACTGCAAATGCTGCTGCTGGTACTTAAGATGCAAGAAGCACAACTTTGGAGCAGAGCACCAGAGGCTCATACCTACACTCCTAGCTACTCAGGAGGCTGAGATCTGAGGATCAAGGTTCAGAGCTAGCCAGGGGAAGGGAAAGTCCATGAGACATCTAACCACCAAAAAGCCAGAAGTGGAGCTGTGGCTCAAGTGGTACAGCGCTACCCTTGAGCTCTAAAGACTCCAGGCACAGCATTTAGGTTCTGACTTCAAAAAAACAATAAAAAGAAGCAAAGCTTTGTTAATAAATGTATATTTGCTTGCTTATAGGTAACTAAGGAAGAAACAAGACCGCTGCCCTGTCTCACTTGTGACTAACGTGTGAATAACCATGAGAATGCTTTCCTAGGGAGGGGAAGCACATCAAGGCTTTGGTCTTTTTAGTGACCAAGGATGACTTGTCACCATTTAGACCTACCTCAGAAAATGACCTGGGTATAGTTCAAGTCAAACCTTGTAAATAATTAGCTTGACTATCCAACGAGTAGGTCCCAGGCACAGAGAGCTCACGTGGAGAGGAGCACACCCATCTCCCATGAAGCGACTCATAAATGACTAGTGGCACTGCTCATGTGTCATGCGGGTGGCCCTACAGACGAAACAAAGTTCCTAGTTCTGCACCCACTACCTACCCAGGGACAATCAGAGGGCTGACTTAATTTAAGTGGTCAATTTGAACAGACCCCAAAATGGGAAAGAACCCAGCCAGCCAGGCTTCCAACCAGCACGCACACTCTGGCCCTAAGAGTGAAGATCTGAACTGCGCCACCAGCCCTTAACTCTGCGTCCCAATACACCACCAAGTCCCATGCCTGCGGGCCTGGTGGCTTCAGTCCTTAAGGGCCCCCAGGTGACCCTATTGTGCAGAAAAATGGAGGACTGCTAGTTTAACACACTGAAGACAAGAAAAACCAGCCAGCTGACTTCTGCCAAATTACATCTTTCCAAACAGCCCCTTCAGTTCTGATTTTATAGCCACCATCAGCAAATGGCAGCATATGAAGGGCAGCACACAATCTCAGCAGCTACCTTCACACTCAGTGGGCAGCAGAAGTAAATTCATCATCCAACACACTCTATATTCTTTTTTTTTTGCAACAGAGTCTCAGCCCAAACTGGCCTTGACCTTAAGATCCCTCTGTTTTAAGTAGCTGCGATTACAGAAGTGCACCACATCTAGCTATCTAGCTGATACTTTTTTTTTTTTTTTTTTTTTGAGCCAATCCTGAGGCTTGGAACTCAGGGTCTAACTACTGAGGTTTTGTGCTCAAGTTTCTGTGGTTTTACCACTTGAGCTACTACTTCTCTTCCAGATTATTTGGTGGTTAGATGGAGATCAGTTTTTTACAGACTTTCCTGCTCCAGCTGGCTTCAAACCACGATCCTCAGATCTCAGCCTCCTGAGTAGCTAGCATTACTGGCATGAGCCACTGGCACCCTGCTACAATCTACTTTTTTAATGCTAACATTATTATCCAAAAAATGGGAACTGCCAGAAAGAATACAAAAGGCAGAATAACCTAACACCCATCTGTGGAAACCAGCTTCTTCTTCCCACTTTGCCATACAATGGGGTAAGGTTTTTTTTGCTGACTTAGCAAGATGAGACTAGCTGTCAACTTCCCCTGTATAAGGCTCATGGACCTCTTAAGTGCAGGCTGGGCCAACTCCCAGATGTAAAAGGTATTCCTTTTACATGTGAATAAAACATACTTATCAAGTTCCAAATGCTGAGCGTCTGACTAGAGTTTATACTGAGACGTCACCTATATAACTGCATCCCAACCAACTGCCTTTAAAATTAAAAGAGCAGAGCTCTGTCTTGGAATGAATTTATACTTGGTGAAATGAGCCACATGGCTTCTTTCTTCCTTTCGGAAAGCCTGACCTCATCCCTTCCTGCTTTCCCCAAGCTCTTCAGCAGGAAGAGGGTGGACCTGGAATAAACCTCAGAACTACACGATCAGCAGCTTCAGTACCATAGGCAGAACTTAATGTAACTAACACACAAAATGGAAAAATGAGAGGATAAGGTAATCCCAGTTAATAGCCATAACTAGCCATATGTAATTTCTGGGTTACTGTTAGGGGTTTAGCAACACTAAAAATATTTCAGCTTCAATGGGTAATTACAATTTTCCCATTGCAATGCTGAGGGAAGAGAAACCTATTTTCTTCAAAGGAAGATTCATTTATGTTATAAAATCCTTCCCCAACACTATTTCAGCTTATACAATCATCAGCAGTAGCCTTATTTAAGAGAGAGAGAGAGATACAGAGAGAGAGAGAGTGTGTGTATGTGTGTGTGTGTACCCTGGGGTTTGAATTCAGTACCTCAAATTCTTGCTTGGCTTTTTCACTCAAGATTGGTGTTCTACCACTTGAGCCTCACCTCTACTCCTAGCTTTTTCTTTAAGCTGGTTAATTGGAGATGGGAGTCTCATGGACTTTTCTGTTCAGACTGGCCTCAAGCTGTGATCCTCAGATCTCAGCCTTCTGAGTTAACTAGGACTACACCACCAGGCAATAGTGGCTATTTTTAAAAACAGAACAATTGAGCAGGCAGGTGACTCAGTGGCCAAGTGCTTGTCTAGCATGCATGAGGTCTTTCATTCCAATGCCAGAACCACCAACAGCTGAGAGGAAAACACAAACAAAAAGCAAAAACAAAAACAAAAAAACAAATGCCCCTCCGCAAACCAAGCAGATGCAGGACTCCCTGGTTATTTTCTTGGGACTCCCCAAGATCACAGCAAAAACATGGGGAAATGACATGGGGAAATTCCATGGAATTCCATTTTACCTGCCATGGGGATCTGATAGGGTTGAATGGATCGAGCTGGGAGCACGGGGTGATGGAAGGTCACCGTGCCATCAAACTCTCCACGTAATTTGATGTCAAATATTACCGACGTCTGCCAGGGAGACAAAGAAAACATTACATCACATCTCACTGTTGCAGATCAAAGTCTATGTCTGCATTCTATTCGCATAGACCAGTTCCTGTTCGTAGAGCAATGTACAGTAACACAACTCAACTTCCATTTTCACCTCCACTCATTAAACCATACTGCACTTACGGCATTTTTCCTTCAAAAAACTTAATGTAATTTAAATAGCTCTTTTCCTTTTTGTTCGAATCACTTTCACTAGTCAGAGACATGGAGTCACCACTCTGGGAAGGGAGGGAAGGTGGCTTGTCTAAACCAGCCTAGAAAAAATGGGACCCACTTCAGATCTCAAGGGCCTCAGAGTATTAAATGGCAATTGTCAGGCACCGTCCTTCATGCCCACACGTGGAGCACAGAGCTCACAGACTCAGGCGACACGGACACTAAGGCTCAGTGGGAGACTCCCAGCCAAACTGCTCCAACAAGTTTCAAATGTTCTATTTCTTTAACTGTCAAGGAATCACTTTTTTCCCCTAATTTACCCTAGTAGACTTTAAGCATAGAGAACACTTTCTAAGCTAGCTGGCCAGTGGCTCACACCTGTAATCCTACTACTCAGATGGCTGAGGTCTTGAGGACCACAGTTCAAAGCCAGCCAGGGCAGGAAAGTCCATAAGACTCTTATCTCCAATAAACCACCAGCAAAAAGAAAGTCAGAAATAGAGTTGTGACTCAAGTGGTAGAGTGCCAGCTTTGCTAAAGGATAGCAGCCAGGTCCTGATTTCAAGCCCCAGTACTGGCATTTAAAAATAAACACTTTTCTGCCCTTTAGAAAGTTGCCCCATTTTCATAGAGGTTTGTTTTTGTTTTTTGGTCAGTCGTGGGGCTTGATCTCTGGGCCTGGCTGCTGTCCCTCAGCTCTTCAGCTCAAGGCAAGTGCTCTACCACTTGAGTCACAGTGCCAATTGTGGTTTTATGAAGGTTAATTGGAGGTAAGAGTCTCAGTGGACTTTCCTGCCAAGGATGGCTTTGAACCTCGATCCTCAGATCTCAGCCTCCTGAGTAGCTAGGATTACAGGCATGAGCCACTGGTACCAGGCTTTCATAGAGCTTTTAAGCAAGTCTCCCATGTACAAATATAAATCAGATTCCCACAGCCAGCTCTCACCTCTGTGTCCTGGTGATGAACAACTACAAGGTTGTCCACCACATTTAGAGCAAACTTTCCAGTCCTGTTTAACTTCAATATATGCATCTTTTTACAAGCTCCCTCTCTGTAAAACAACAGAAAGGTTTAAGAAAAAAAAAATACAACCACCAGATCCACAAGCCTTAGCTGTGATTTTAAAACCAGAGAATGATGGCAGAGAGCATGAGCATACCGTGGCAGATGGTAGAGGACCACCTCCGCTCCTGTACTGTTGGAGGTACGAGAGTGGTGTCTCAGGAAGAGAACGTAAAGCTGCCCGTATCTAAGGAGAGGACAGACACGTAAGTCCTGTGTGGCCACTTAAAATTCCTCCTTTCTAAAGGCTGAATTATCAGGTCATAGTCAATTATGAGAATTCATTCAATAGATTATTTTGCAGTCAACAGAGATGTTTAGAAAGTGATGGCAGTTACTGTCACAAAGCCTACTAAAAGCAGAGTGGAAAGTCAGGTACCTGTAATCCTAGCTAACTAGGAAGCTGAAATCTAAGGAACAGAAGTTCAAGGCCAGCCCAGTCAGAAAAGTCTGTGAGACTCATCTCCAATTAACCAAGACAAAAACAAAGCAAAGCCAAAAGTAGAGATATAGTTCTACTGGTACAACTTGCCAGCCTTGAGCAAAAAGCTAAGGGACAGCATCCATGCCCTGAGTTCAATCCCACTACCAACACCAAAAAAAAAAAAAGAAAAAAGAGTGGAGAAAGGAATGCAGACTTCACAGTTTGATCACAGTCTTTCCATATAAAACCATAAATCCAAGTAGAGTCCAAAAATAGTAAAATGCATGATGTTAAGTTATTGTAGAATGATGAATTATGGCTATTTTCCTTCCTTTCTTCCTGAGTTTTCCTTAACCGTAGGAAAATCCCATTACTACTCTTGCTAAGTATCATCTAATAAATGTCACTGTAGGCAGTTCCTGGATGTCTGCTTCTATTCTGGGGATAACATGGGATGGGAAAGAGACCACGGCAGCCAGGACCAGATCTGTTTTATAAACTAGGATGCCAATAAAGAAAAAAAAACTGTGTTACTAAGTCTTTATGTGCAGAAACTCACAACTGTAAGTAATTTAGAAGTGAAATCATGAGGGCTGCGGAATCAAGAAGGAATCGTCTCAAAGAGGACATACATGGTGGCCATGGCGATGTCTCGTTCAGAAAGGCTAGGTTTAGTTGACTTCGGTGTAGCTGGTAATTCAATCTCAAACTTGGGTAGCTTCGACATAGTGCCAGCCTATAGGGGAAAATATTGCAGAAAAGTTCTTAAATCAGTGAAGAATATACACGCCACTTGTGTGTATATGTGCAACACACACACTAATTTGTGTGTGTGTGGAGCCTGGACTTAGGGACTTGAGTTCTTGCTCAGCTTTTTGGGCTCATGGTTGGCATTTGATACCACTTGAGCCACAGCTCCACTGCTGGCTTTTTGCTGCTTAATTGGAGATAGAGTTACAGACTTTCCTGCCCAGATCTCGGGCTCCTGAGTAGCTAGGATTACAGGCATGAGCAAGCTACCAGTGCCTAGCTATTTTTTCCTCCTTTCCAATTACATACTTGACTCACCATAAATCTTCACAGACTGAATCATTCTTGGGAATTGTTAGGGTGGTGCAGTGTGCCCTCTAGTGGTCAGGGCAGCGAGACTCATGTTGGAAGAAATGGCCCCTTTTAAGGACTTGCCTGGTATGGTAATAGAACAGAGTAAGGGTAGGGAGAGTTTAACTTAGAAGAGGGTGGACTTAATCTAACCTTAAAATAAAAAGGCTGCAGAACATTTTCAAGGACTGTAGTAGAGAGCAGAATCACAGCACTCTCTGGACAGTACATGTACCAATTCACATTGATGTTGTGGCTCTTCAGGAGTTTCAGACTCCGCTTCTCTGGTAATACCTGAAAGAAAAGTTCAAGACACTGAATCTTCATTTCAAAAGCTCAAGACAAGACTAGAAGAGTGGTGCAAGTGGTAGAATGTCTGCCAAGCAAACATGAGGCCCTTAGGTCAAAACCCAGTATCACCCAAAGGGGAAAAAACAGATTCACTACAGTAAGTTAAGAAAATAAGTCCACTGATTAGGCAATTGCTATGTATATTTACTAGCACAGGCTTAGTGCTTTTCATAGCTGCACTTACTCTTTACAGTAACCCCCATAGGCAAGTACCATCAGCTCTACTAAACAGATGAAGGAGCAACTGAACAACACAATTACAATCTGCAGGCTGCTCACTACAAAGTCCATAGCCAGGCACCAAAAAACAAGGAACTACAAGTTCTCCATTATCAAGGAAATGGTCAAAGAAGCCCACTACCAGCCAGGTGCCAGTGGCTTATACCTATAATCCAGCTACTCAGGAGGCTGAGATTTGAGGATCATGGTTCGAAGCCAGCCCAGGCAGGAAAGTCCATGACACTTATCTCCAATAAACTACTCAAAAAAGTTGGAAGTGGTACTGTGGCTCAAGTGGTAGAGTGCTAGCCTTGAGCATTCACAAAGAGGCTCAGGGACAGTGCCCAGGCCCTGAGTTCAAGCCCCAGGACTGGGGGAAAAAAATATTACCCTCAAGACTTCCTTCTGCCTGGCCTCCATATTCGGCTAGCAGGGATTACCTTCTCCCTTTTCTTAACTCAAGAATTCATCAGATGTAATATTTTGGAATTAGAACACTTTTAAACTATACATAGACTATACATAGTCAGGCTAAGGACCAGAGAGTAATGTTCAGGGAGCACTGTGCTGAAGATCTACTGTGGAAATCAAGGCTGGAGACCCGAGTCTCCTCATGATCTGTGCATATTACATATTGCATTCCTATTTCTTTTCAAGCTATGTCCTGAGGACCTGAGGACCATCTAGATGCCCATCATATACATTTTCCTACTACTGAGGACAGACAGGGTTTTTAAATGATTACTGCGAAGAACTGCTTTGCACAGCAAGTCACTGCAAGTTCTCTGTGTGTGGGAATTAATGTTAAAGTATCCCTTCTACAGAGTATTTGATGATAGCCTTATAGCACAGCATCATACCCTTAACCTCTCACATTTCTCTTACATGGGTCTATTTTCTCCACCCATAAACTCTAAATTACATTGCTTTCATTAGGTCAATAAAATTAAAACCTGAAAGAAGCTAGCAATTTGACACTGACTGATCAGAAGCAACCTCACTAGGCCCAGCAAGTAGACTATATTAAAGAGAACTATCAAAGGACTTGAATAAAGACTTCTCCAAAGATAACACACAAGTGGTCCACAAGCACACCAACAGATGCTCAAGGCTGGGGGTATAGCTCAGGGGGGAAGCACTTACCCAGCATGCACCTGGCTCTGGGTTCAATCTCTAGTACTTGAGATGGGGATTCATAGCATCATTAACAATTTAAACCACAGTAGGAGATCACTTCACAGTCACTAGGATAGTTATTTAAAAAACAGGGCAGGGGGTAACAATGTTCGACAAGAAATGTACTCTACCTTACTTATGTAACTGTAATCCCTCTGTACATCACCCTTACAATAAAAGTTTAAAAAAAATGAAAACAGGACGGGCTCTAGCTCACAGGTAGAGTACTAGTTTTGAATGTACAAGGCTTTAGGTTTGATCTCCAGCAGTAGAAAAAAAAAGTAACAAGTTAACATCCTTGTCAACAAGGTTATAAAGAAAATAAAACTCCTGTGGTGCACTGTTAGAATTATAAGACGGTATTTGTCATAGAAGTGGTAAGTCACCAAAATGTTTTAACAACAAAATCACGAACATCTGTATGTTAAGAGCACTTAAGAGTATGAGGCAGAAGGATCTCAAGTTTGAGGCCAGTTGGGCTACACAGTGAGATCCTGCCTCAATTAATTAAGATAGAACTACCAGAAAACCCAGAAATGGGTATATATATGTAAAGTATTAGAAATAGGACCTTGAAGAGATGTCTGCATACCATGTTTCTAGCAGCATTATTCATAAGAACAAAAAGGTAGAAGAAAAGGAATGCCTACCAACAGATGAAGAGATCTGCAAATATGGTATATACACACATCCTGTCTTGAAATAAGCCAATCACAAAAAAACACAGTATACTAATTCTGCTTATTAGGTACCCGAAATAATTCACCTTAACAGAAATAAGAACTGAAAGTTGACAGGACTGGGAGAGGGCGAAAGGGATTGTTTAATGGATGCAGAATTTTACTTCTAGAAGAGATGTTTCCCTACAACATGAAGGAATGCTCTCAACTACCAATTTATTAAGGGTTAGGATGGTAACTTTTATGTTGTGTGCTTTTTACCACAATAAAAAACTGACACCATCAACACAAAGAAAGCCCAAGTGTAAAGTGAGAAGATGATGCTCACACCTCTAGTAGAACAGAGAAACCATCTTTCTACCTCTCCAAACATCCAGTTCTGGCAAAGGTGTAGGAAGGGGTAAGATTACTACACTGCCACTGAAAGTACACACCTTCCATTCACACCTGTGCTGCAATTCCAAGAACTATCTCACACAAGAGTATAAATGTATGCGACTATGTCTTTGTCATTACAGTGAGATCAAATAGACACACACAGGAACTGCGAAGTGAATGCTATTTATCTACAAAGCAGAACACAACTCAGTCAGACTAAAATATAGAAAAGATATTTAAGATATAACACCATGCCCAAAATCCAGCTGCCAAAGCTTATACACAATATTCCCCTTTCCATAAAAGAATGTTTGAATGTAGAAAAACATGTAGGAAATTGGGCCAAACTGGTTAAAATAGTTATTCTATAATTCTTGGGTACTTCTACAATAGACTTAGTAATATTTGATTTTTTTTTGAGGTCCTGGGATTTGAACTTAAGGCCTCACACTTATCAGGCATGAGCTTTACCACTGAGTCACAGCACCAGCCCTTGAATGTTTTATTTTTTGACAACCTGTAATCAGAAAAAACTTTAAGCAAGAGGTTATCTCTAAAAAGCTCAAAGTATTTCTTAAGTGCAGCGTTCAAAAGGCACCCAACTGCCTTTCATTATTAGCAAGCATAAATGATAACTTTAATACCTGGTAAAATTCAATCCCTTGATCTGTTATGAAGACAATTTCAGTAGAACTGGTCCAGCAGAAGCCCAAAATGTTGGCATTCTTAGTCTGGAAAGAATTATAGAAAGATTGCCTGGCAATTAATCAGAAAAGCATATATGACTGTCATCTAAAGCTCAAGATTCCTCTGCCATTTGTATTACTTTACAATCAGACAGTTACTCATCAACAAATAAAAAAATATATTTTTTTAATACCCACAACCCAGCACAGACTGGCCTTGAACCAGCAATCCTCCAGTCTTCAGCCTCTTGAATGCTGGTATAATAGGTGTATACCACCATGCCCAGTTCAAATACTTTTAAATTCAACTTTCCCTATTTTTAACTTTTCCTTTAAGACTTTGAATCTTAATTCCTTCTGGTCAACAGAATGAAGGAGGCTTGAATTGTGTACAGAGATAACTAGTCACAGCCACCAGGTATCCACTTCTATTTCTATCAAAGGATTGCCCACATTCTCTTAACATATTATAAAAACTGGCATCATGAAGTGTAAGGGCCTAAAGTTTACCAGCAGGTGTTGAACAAAATGGTGACTCTGAGGCCACAAACAGGAGGGCATATAGGGCCCAGCAGGGCTAAAGTGGGGGCTGTTTCATAAGCAGAGCAGATGCAGGGCTGTTACTTGGGGCTATGCCTCTACCATTTGAGGCATATATAAAAATCCCCAGTCATATATAAAAATCCACTCCCCAACCACTAGCAACTTTGGTTAGTTTCTCAGTTTGCACATGCTCATTTTAAGCAGCATACCCTCTAGCAAATCTCCTTAGCATGGATTAGAATCTACAGTGGAGGAGGAGAAAATTGAAGGTCAGGGGAAGGACAACCACTGGAGGAAGGAAAACACTGCTGAGAACAGGAACAAACTCCTCACCAAAACCCTCCAGAAAAAGCATCTTTGTGAGAAAGCAGGACTCAGCCCAATGAGGAAGCTAGGGCAGGACCAAAACAGTCATAGGAAACACTGCTGTGCCCCCTTTACTTCTCTCAACTCCATTTTACAATGAAGATAGACCTTCAAAGCTGGCAACTGTCCAGGGTCTTGAAGCAGTGATGCCCTGGTTGATCTCAGCATTTTCCCAGAGCCAGATTCCAAGTCAGTGCCTCTACCAACCCATTCCTCGCTCCTCACACAGGCTCCCATTCACCAGCTAAGGCTGCCAGGTGAGGAAGAAGCCAGCCCATACCTTGCACTCTTGGGTATATTCCAGCTGAGAATTATCAGGGATAAAGTTACAAAAATCCTGGAGGAAAAAAAATAACAACACATTTTTAAAAATGTGGATTGAGAAGCTTACTGTCAACCCACTTGCAGGCATGCAACAAGATGCAAAGGGCAAATAAATTTTAAAAGTGATCAGTTAATGGCACCCCAAAACTGAAACAATACAGAGACCGATTTCTATCATCTTCCTCCTTAACGTCAGAATGTTTATTGGCCACCTAAGAGTTATTTAACCATTCTGAAAACATTCCGCAAGCAGGTAATGCCAGAGAAATGGATTGCTGGGGTTTTTTAAAACACTGTTATTATTAAGGCAGTGTACAGAGAAGTTACCATTTCATCAGTCAGGTAATGAGTACTTTTCTTTTTTAGACAATGTCACCCTGTCTTTTTTTTCCCAATTTCCCCCTTCTATCCCTACCCACAAGTTACACAGTTCATTTTCCACAGTGTCTACTGAATAGCATGATTGTATTTGTTTACCCTTCTTCTGTCTTTCTGTGCCCCCCTTTATCCTTGAAAAGCAAAAACAAACACCAGTACTACAAACAACAACAAAAACATGCTTCCATTTCCTGGTGCTTTTTTTTGTTTTTGTGCCAGTCCTGGGGCTTGAATTCAGGGCCTATGCACTGTCCCTGAGCTTTTGTGTTCATGGCCAGTGCTCTACCTACAACTTGAGCCACCACAGCTCCAGCTTTTTTGGGTGACTAACTGGACAATCTCAGAATTTCTGTCCAGTCTGGCTTTGATCAGAAATTCTCCTATCTCAGCCCCGAGAAGCTAGGATTACAGGCATGAGCCACTGTTGTTGGGCTTTTTCTTCCCCCAGTGCTGAAGATGGAACCCAGGGCCTTGCACATACTAGACCAAATGCTCTACCAGTAAACTCCACCCCTGGCCCACAATGGTGAATATTTCTAAGGCTGAAATGCCAATAAGCTGCACCAATTCTCAACAAATGCTCCTAGTAAATCTAGAAACAAAAAGAGAAGCAGGTAAATGAAGGTAACCTGAAAAATTCATGAAGCAAACAAAACTATAGCTCACTACCATCCATATTGCTAGCTATCAAACAACAAAGATGTCTGAGATTCAAATTGCATTATAAAAAAATTAAGCAACATATGTCAAATTAAGATCAGACTTACTTATCAAATGTCTTTCTCATCTATAAAGGCTCCAAGACAAATACACCTTTCAGGACAGTAGGATAAGTGCTTCCTTTAACATTAAATTTTGCAATTCCTTCTCATCCCACTGTACTTCTAACGTCTCTTTTTAAAGCTGCTTCCAAAGTTGTAGCTTACCACAGTCTTAGAGGTTCTCTGCACAGCTAGTATCTTGTTTTCTAAGGAAAACTTTATGCATTTCACTTCTCCTTTGTCATCCATTCTATAAAAGAAAAAGAAAGGTTAACACAACTGAATTCTAGCTATTATCATTTATTGGCTAAAAAAGCCCAGATAAATATTCAGCAGTCAGCAAGTCCTCATTTAACACTGAGCAGTTTCTAAACTGTCTGTAGGACCCCATTTATTTGTTTAGGCTGGTACTGGGACTTCAACTCGGGGGTCTTATGTTCTTGGCTAGCATAAAGGCTACCACTTGAGCCATGCCCCCACTTCCAGCTTTTTGCTGGTTAACTGGAGATGAAACTCTCTAGGATGAATTTGCCCGGACCGCCTGAGTTTTAAACCTCCATCCTCAGATCTCAGCCTCACAGTAGCTAGCACTGTAGGCATGAGACAAACACCAACACCTGGCTAAGACTATTTTTTAAAAATAACTCCAGCTGGGAACCAGGGGCCTATAGCTATAATCCTAGCTACTGTGGAAGCTGAGGTCTAGAGGATCTCAGTTTGAAGCCAGCCTAGGCAGAAAATTCTCTAAAACTCCATCTTCAATTAATCAGACTAGAAGTTGTATCTCAAGTGACAGAGTACCAGCTGTGAGCAAAAAAGCTGAGTAAGAGTATGAGAACTCAAGTTCAAGCCCTGGTACTGGGGAAAAAAACAAACAATTATTACTGGACAAATTAACAGTATGATGATGATTGTCAAATTGGGGTCATATGTATTTATCACCTGAGAATTAATTTAGTCAAAAATACAATGCATCCTTACACAGTGACCTTCTTCTCCTCAAACACAGCTTTCTCCTCTTCTCAAAAAAAGCTTCCAGAAATGAAAAGTTTCCAGAACACAGACTACTCTTTCTTTTCCCCAGCCTTAACAAGACCATAGACAATATCACAACCACCTCAAGCCACATGCAAAAAGCACCCAAAGGAAGATTACAGAAAGGACTGAGGACACCGAGCAATATGAATATGTTCACTTTTGGGGGGGGGGGGAGGGGAGGGTCCGGTCGTGGGGCCTGGACTCTGGCCTGGGCACTATCCCTCAGCTCTTCAGCTCAAGGCTAGCACTCTACCACTTGAGCCACAGCGCCACTTCCGGCTTTTTTTTCTGCTTATGTGGTGCTGAGGAATCGAACCCAGGGCCTCAAGCATGCAAGGCAAGCGCTCTACCACTGAGCCACCTTCCCAGCCCCTATGTTCACTTCTTTTGAAAAATAAATTCATTGTTATTATAAAGGTGACATACACAGAGGTTATAGTTACACAAGTCAAGCAAAGAGTCCATCTCTTTTTGGACAATGTTACCCCTTCCCTCTCTTTCTCTGTCCCAGTTTTCCTCTCCCGTTCCCATCTATAAGACACATTATTCTGAGCTTGATATTGGGGTTCTGGGTAAAAACTCATCATATTATATACATTAAATATGGCATCTTATCATGAGCTGATTATATGTTAATAAAGCAGGATTTTGGGTTTTTTTTTTTTTAATGTTCTCACAAAATTCCATTCAGCTGAGTACCAGTGGCTCATGCTTGTAAACTTAGATACTTAGCAGGCTGAGATCAGAGAACTGAAGTTCAAAATCACCAGCCTGGACAGAAAAGTACATGACTTTATTTAGCTTTTTTTTTTTAATTTTAATGATTATTTTTTCTTTTTTTAAAAATTAAGTTTATGTTTATGTGGTACCAAAGAATCAAAACCAGGGCCTCATACAAGCTAAGTAAGCATTCTACCACTAAGCCACATTCCCTGCCCAATGCTTTTTTTTTTTTTTTTGGCTGCTCTTGGGGCTTGAACTCAGAACCTGGGTGCTGTCCCTGAGCCTGTTTGTGCTCAAGGCTAGCTAGCACTGCACACTTGAGCCACAGCGCTACTTCCATCCATGAAACTCTTATTTCCAATTAACCACCAGAAAAGAGATATGGGGCTGTGGACAAGTGGTAGAGCACCAACCCTAAGTGAAAAGCTAAGGAACAGCACAAGGGTCTGAGTACAAGTTCCAGGATTGGCACACAAAATAAAATTCAGTACTATACCCTTTCAAACTCCTGAAAGCCCCCAAATCTAGACTCGCAAGGACAGCTGGGTCTGGTTTTCCACATTACACCAGAGAGACTTATCAGGAAACATTCTTAGGCGTGTTCTGGTTGCTTATTCAATGGGCCTGTACCTCAGAGCCCTGGCCAGGACAACTGACTCAGCTGGATCACTACTGTGATAGTGCTATCCCAACCTCTGCAATGCTTGCTAAAATCCACCCTCAAGGACGAAGCTGGCATGATGTTTCCTACTACCCATCAATGGGATCCTGCCATACTCATCCTGACAAATTTTCAGTGCAGGCACACATGCATGCATGCACATGCACGCACGCACACACATGCACACACACAAAGACAATAAAAGAAAAAGAAGTTAACTGTTTCCTCCTGTGGTTTCTCATTATCACTCCAACTGTGATTTCATGCATGTGCATGCATATGTATATGTGTATACTGTAGTGTGTGTGTGTGTGTGTGTGTGTGTGTGTGTGTGTGTGTGTGATTTACTACGCAGCCCAGGCTGGCCTCAAACTCCAGATTCCGCCTTCGAATCTGGGGCAGGGAAACCGGGGAGAGAGGAACTGGTATTACTGGAATGTACCTACCACCAAACTTGGCTTACAGGTTTGTGTAAATTGGATATCAGGTGTTTTTTTGTTTTTGTCTTTTTTTGCACTTGCTAGGCAAACGCTTTGCCACTGGGCTACATCCCAGCCCATGATTTTCTTATATGGCATGAGAAACACTGCATCGTCTCCACCCACCAAACGCCCTAGAAAAACCTGGACTAAAAGAGGAAATAAGCCCCCAACCTATACCCACCCCATCAACAAACCGGAAGTGAGGGCCCAAGCGCACCAACTTGATAATTTCAAGTACTAGGAAGCAGGTGCCCTACTTTGGGGATATCTGATCCCCCCCCCCCAATAACTGCTACACATATCTCAGTTCTATTACGTGGCTTCCTCTTCCTCAGAAAGGGAGGGATGCCAACCGAAGGGAAGGCAGGCAGAGACACACAATCAGAGAAACACCCGTGTCTGGTTCACGGATGCGAATCACGCTGAGAAACGACAAAAGACCGTTACCGAAAGGAGATGGGATTCCTCTCCTCCGGGCCTTTCACGACCACCCCAGTAGCTCCACCGGATCGAACAGCAAACACCTGGGAAGGAAGAGAAAGCAAGGTGGATGCCCTCGACGAGCTACCGAGGATCCCCTCCGCAGGACCGCAGCCTGGGGTTCCACAAGGCGAACCCCGACACCCGTCTGGGCGCCGGCGCTTGGCCGGACATCAGCAAGCCGGGACCCGAAAGGCTGCGGGCCCCCGGGCTTCCCCGTCACTGTCCGGGCCCGGGCCGGGCCGGGTCGGGTCGGGCCCGGCGTCAGGTCCACACTGGCCAAGGAAACTCCACAGGTCCGCTGGCCTAACTAATGGCAGGAGGTGAACGGCGTGGCGAAGGGGGCCCCGCGGAGCCGCCCGGGGACCCGGCCCCGCCTCGGCCCTCGCGCGGGGCCTCCCAGGCGACCCGGCTCCGGGCCCCCGGCCCCCGCACCTGCTTGTTGGCCTCGTCGAAGAAGACGCAGTTGACCGGGTTCGCCTTTTCGAACTGCACCGGACGCTCGCACAGCTCCAGGTAATAGTCCTCCTCGCCCATGGCCAGGGAGGGGGCGCCGCCGGCGGCGGCGGCGGGAGCCCCGGGAGCGGCCGCCAGCGTGGAGCCCGGCGGGCGGCGCCGGCGCGGGGCGCACGAGCTCCAGGGGCGTCGGGTCCCGGCGGGCGGCGCGGGGCTCCGGACCCGGCTCGCAGGCCGCTTCCTGGTGCCACGCCTCCGCCACGCCCACCACGTGATTCGAAGGCCTGGAGTCACTTAAAGGAGCCTCGTCCCGCGGTGGGGCCCACCCGAAGGCGTTTCCCCCGCCTACCCGGGGCGGGAGGCTCCGCCCCTTTTCGGAAGGGAGGGGGCAGGCCGGAGAGCGCTACGCTTTAATGCCCTGGCCAGTGGAGGCGGAGCAAAGGCGGGGGCCGAGGCCGGGATCCTCCGGGTTCGCTGTCCTCCCCACCCCTGATCCCCGGATGCTCCCTCAACAAGCCCCTTTCCAGAGTGACCCCAGACGGGAGCTCGCGGGCTGAAAAGGGCTCCCCCTTGCTCTCGGGGTCCGGGGTTCTGGCCCAGAGCTGAGGCCCGAGGCTGGCTGGGAGCGTCCCACCGCGGATCCGAGGTTCCCCGGCACACACGCCTCGTTTTCCTTCGGAGCAAACCACGCCCCTGGGTGTGGGTGAGTGACAGTTGGTCTTCCCCCTGCGCGGCGGCCCGAGCTGGGCGGGGCTCCCGAGGCTCCTGCGGGGTCGGATAAGCCGCTGTGCGAGCCGCTCGCCTCCCCGCAACTGTGCCCCGTTCCCAACCTAACATCGATGGGCTTTCCTGCTTTTCTGGGGCTTGTTTTCACTTTTGCTTCTCATTTTGTCATCAGACTCGATGACCGAGGATGGTCGGAAGGGATCATGTGTAGTGATTGGTGTTTGGGGGCGTTTGCTTGCTTCTTTGAATTTTCTGGAGTCCTTTTAGTTTTAAAACGATCGTGAGTGATTTCTTTTAGGATGAACGGAATTGTTTAAAACTATGTGCCCTTACTAGCAAGTCTTGACTATATGTCGCCATTTTGTAGCCTTGCTTTTTAATTTCCTAAGAATGTTTACCTTCGAATTCAGGCTTACAGAATTGAATGTATATTAACTATCAGGGATGAGGGATTGGGCGGATGTGTTAGACAGTGGATGATTTCTGCCTTCTGTCTACTTTTGACATTATTTTTATTTTTTAGGTGTTTTTTACTGGAACTGGGGCTTGAACACAGGACCTCATGCTCATGCTTAACTGGCTCATCTTTGAGTCCCACTGGAGTCACACCTCCAGTAGAGGATTAATGTTGGTTGGTTGCAGATTAAGAGTCGCCCAGTCTTTCCTGCCCAGACCAGCTTTAACAACCCTCCAGGTCTGAGCCAACTGAATAACTAGGATTACAGGCATGAGACAGCAGTTTCAGGCTGGCGTTCATTTTTTTTAATGAATTCGTATTAGCTTCATGAACAGAAAACAATTTAAAGTATCAGTGGAAGGAGTTTAAAATACGCTATCCTGACGTCAATCAAAAGCACTTAAAATAAAGCAGGTAAGATCATTCTGACTCTCATGCTGTGTCTGAAATATAGGAAGCTGGATGCTATGCCTTATGATGTCAGCCACTCAGGAGACAAAAATCAGGAGGATCATGATTTGAGGCTAGCCCCAGCAGAAAATAGCTGACTCTTAATAGATAAAGCTGTGCATAGGCACTATGGTACACACTTATCATCCCAGCTACAGTGAAGTATAAAAGGATCACAGTCCATGCCAGCATGGGCAAAAGCAAGACCCTGTCTCAAAAACAACCAGAACAAAAGGGATGAATGTATGGCTCAAGCAATGAAGCAGCTGCCCAGCAAAGCATAAGGCCCTGAATTTAAATCATAGAACTGGAAAAAAAAAAGACATGAAATTCCCAGGTGATTGTTACAAGTGAGACTGGACTACATGAGATTGTTTCAAACAAAAGCAAATCCTAAACCCAATAAACCTATTGCATGCTAAAGAACAATGATACGTAAAAAAAAAAAAAAATTGTTGTCTGAAATTTCACTGAGAAAAATGTGATTCTAATGTTTTTATTGTTATTATTAAAGGTGATGAAAAGAGAGATTACAGTTACATAAGTCAGGTAAAGAGTACTTTTTTTTTTGACAATGTCAACCCCCTCACTGTCTCCCAGTTTTCCCCTCCCATCCCCACCCACAAGTTGTATGGTTCATTTTCAACATACTTTCTTAGTAAGTATCTCTGCTGCACTTGTTTACCTTTTGTCCCTCCATTTCTGTGGCCCCCCTACCCTCCCAAAGACAGATAAACAAGATAAAATGAAAATGAAAACCTAAACAAAGAAAAAAAACCTCTTACTTCCTGGAGTTCACTTTGATAAATATTATTTATATCAGATGGCATTTACGTATTGTGCCTTTGTGCTCCTCTTCTAAGAATATCCTCCTTAGGTGTCACTGTGCATGAATGCCTAGAGTCTTGTATAACTTATCATGTGTACATGTATTTTAGATCTAGCTTCCACATGTTACAGAAAACATGCACAATTTGCCTCTCTGAGCTTAGCTTACTTCACTTAACATGATTTGTCCTAGGTCCATCCATTTCCCTGCAAATGATATGTTATTCTTTCTAATGGCTGTGTAAAATGTCATTGTACATAGGTACCATATTTTTTTGATCCACTCATCTATTGTAGGGCATCTGAGCTGTTTCCTTATCTTGGCTATTGTGAATAGTGCAGCAATAAACACTGATGTGCAAGTTTCTTTAGCGTACATTCTGTGTTTGCAAATCTCTAATTTCTGAAATAGTAAAGGATAGCTAGATTCTTCTAGCTGCTTCTGGATTCATTATGTTGAAATACCTTCTTTCAGCTGAAGTTTATTTTTTAAAAAATCTGAACTAATTCTGAGGTAATTGGAAAAGGGCAGAGTATACTGCCTTTCCAAATAACGGGTTTCTTGTTTTGTTTTGGTTTTTGAGACAGTCTCAATGTTTAGCCCAAGCTGACCTGGAACTTTCAATTCTCCTGCCTCAGCCCAAGTGCTGAGATTATAGGCAAGCATCAACACACCTAGCTCTTTCCTGAACTTTAAATAGGGCCCTTTTATCATCTGTATTAGATATCTATTGCAGTACATTACCCTAAACTTAATGACTTAATCACAAACATTTGTTAACTCATAATATTGGGGGGGGGGGGGTTGTTGTTGTTTGTGCTATACTGGAGCTTGAACTCAGGCCCTTAATCTAGGCCTTACCTTTTTCCCTCAGGCTGGTATTCTACCACTTGAACCACAGATCTACTTATGCTTTCTGCTGGTTAATTGGAAATAGTAGTATCTTGGGTTGGGTCTGCCCTGACTGGCTTCAAACTATGACCCTTAGATCTCAGCCTCCTGAACAACTAGGATTACAGGTGTGAGCCACCTAATTTTTTTTTTTTATTGTTGTGCCAGTCCTGGAGCTTGAACTCAGGGCCTAGGCACTATACCTGAGCTTTTTCCTCAAGACTAGCACAGCCACAGCTGTACTTTTTTATTTTTTTTGGTGGTTAATTGGAGAAAAATCTCACACTTTCTTGCCCAGGCTGGCTTTGAACCATGAACCTCAGATCACAGCCTCCTGAGTGGCTAGGATTGCAGGTATGAGCCACTGATGCCTGATGATTTTAATATTAAATTCTATATACACAAAACACATCCTAATCATGTATCTTCTTCCTCCTTTGAAAAGTGGCATTGGGGTGGCCTACCTGCAGATTTCTGATCATGAGCAAAGTTTCCATGTGCTCATCTAAAAATTTCCCAAATATGTTCACTAAACCAGTTGAAGCAGGACCAAGTCTGCCCAGCCCTCCCCCAACAGTAAAGTTTTTTTTGTTTGTTTGTTTGGGTTTTTTGGGGTCTGGTCATGGGGCCTGAACTCTGGGCCTGGGTGCTGTCCCTCAGCTCTTCAGCTCAAGGCTAGCACTCTTCCACTTGAGCCACAGCGCCACTTCTGGTTTTTTGTTTTTTTTTTTCCTGCTTATGTGGTACTGAGGAATAGACCCAGGGCCTCATGCATGCAAAGCAAGCACTCTACCACTGAGCCACGTTCCCAGCCCCTAAAGTTTTATATTTACCTTGGTCTTCATGTTAGTCTGCCCAGGGACCACAACAGTTGATCACTAACTTGAAGCTTAAGTAGCAAACACTTCTTTTCTCACAGTACTGGAGGTTGAAATCTTAAGAGCAAGATGTCAATACAATTGGTGTCTGGTGAGGCCTTTCTCCTTGGGGTGCAGTTACCTTCTCATTGTCGTATGGCTTTTCTTACAGTTACAAGTGCCTCTTCTAATGACACCAGCCATGATCTTCTGGACCTCATTTAACCCCTGCTCAAGGCCTCCATTAGGGTCAAAGGCTTCAATTTGTCTTCAGAAGATATACTCAGTTTTTACATACTTCCGTTCCTCTGTCCAGTATTTAGGACTTCAGGCTGGCTTTGAACCTTGATCCTTTGGATCTCAGCACATATGTGTGCTGGTTCTTAGATGTGGGTGCTGTACCTTAGCATTTTTTTGTCAGTCCTGGGGTTTAAACCCAAGCTGTCCCTGAGCTTTTCTGCTCAAGGCTGGTGCTCTACCACTTTGAGCTACAGTTCTACTTCTGTATTTTTTGGGGGGGGATAGTTAATTGGAGATAACCCCTGGCTGGCTTTTAACTGTGATCCTCAAATCTCAGCCTCCTGAGGCAAGAGCCAATGGCACTTAGCTGCCTGTTGTTGTTTTTGTCCGTAGTGGGGCTTGAACTCTGGGCTTGGCACTGTCCCTGCGCTCTTCAGCTCAAGGCAAGCGCTCTACTGCTTGAGCCACAGCACCACTTTTGGGGTTTTTGTTTGTTTGTTTTTGCTCAAGGCTGTTGCTCTCTCATTTGAATTATAGCTCCACTTCTGGCTTTTTGCTGGTTAGTTGGAGATAGAGTCTTCCAGACTTTCCAACCTGGGCCGGCTTTGCACTGAGATTCTCAGATCTCAGCCTCCAGTGACTACTTGTTCCAGGCATAAGCAGGCATGAACCACTTGCTCCAGCTTATTTGAGCTTTTTCTAAGTATAATACAACTTCAAAAAGGTTAAGTAGTTTATTCTAATTTGTTACTTAGTAATACAATACCATGTCAAGCAATAAATACTTTTTCTTGTTTCCATTTTCACTTTTCCAAATCTTTCTTGATGTGATCCACTTTTCCTGAATTTTTACTCACCTGGGACTTTTACCAAAATACTGTTCTGAATGTTTCATATTAAGTGATCCATTGAATTAGGTGTTCTTCTCTCCCAGAAAGCATTAAGGATTAAAAAGTTTATAGAGCTGTAAGTAGTACCTTACTCATGTACTTTGTAATGAATACCCCAACATCTTTCTCTATCTACTACTTATCCAATGTAAAGTAAGCCTTAAAAACTTATATTTTTATGTACTCCCTACCAAAAAAAATAGAAAAGGATACATCTTCATAAATTTAATTGTCAAGGTTTCTCTCCAATTTCTTTTCTTGAACTCTGGGCCTGGGTGCTGTCCTTCAGCTCTTCAGCTCAAGGCTAGCGCTCTACCATTTGAGCCACAGCACCACTTCCAGTTTTGTGAGTGGTTATTGGAGATAAGAGTTTCATGGACTTTCATGCCCAGGCTGGCTTTGAACCGAGATCCTCAGATCTCAGCCTCCTGAGTAGCTAGGATTACAGGCGTGAGCCACTGGCACCCAGCTCTCTATTTCTTTTTAACCACTATTACGAGTTTAAACTCAGAACCTTGGGGCTGGGAATGTGGCTTAGTGGTAGAGTGCTTGCCTAGCATGCATGAAGCATGAAGCCTTGGGTTCTATTCCTCAGTAACACATAAACAGAAAAGGTGTCTCTGCGTCCAGAGAGGCTCAGGGACAAAGCCCAGGCCCGAGTTGAAGCCCCAGGACCAGCAAGAAGACAAAACAAAAACAAATCTCAGAGCCTTGCATGTAAACACGTTTAGCGTGTCTACTCAGCTGGTACTCTACTAGTTGAGCCAATCCTCCAGCCTAGCTTTTTGCTGATTTTGAAGATAGGAGTCTTAAGGACTTCAGGCTGTCCTTAAACCTTGATTCTTTGGATCTCAGCCTCGTGAGTAGCTAGGATTACACATCTGAGCCACTTATACCTGGCTTTGCTTCCTACTTCTAAAGTTCTAGGGGCTACAACAGACCTTGTAATTTCAAAAGGTATCAAAAAAGAAATGCATTTTCAGCTGGGCAGTGGTAGCTCACACCTGTAATCCTAACCAGGAGGCTGAGATCTGAGAATCAAGGTTCAAAGCCAGACAAATTCAAGACACTTATCTCCAGCAAAAAGCTGGAAGTAAGCTGTGGCTCACAAGAACACCAGCCTTGAGTGAAAAAGCCAAAAGTACAAAGCCCTGAGTTCAAGCCTCAGTTTTGGCATGAATATGCGCACATGTACACATGCATACACATACACACACACACACACACACATATGAAATGCATACCTCTGGGTGTTTTGTCATAGTTGTATACAAATACAATTTAAGGAAAAATTTTCTTAGAGGTGTACTTTACTGATTCAGGCAGATGTCTCTAAATAGAATCAAAATGATACTGTGATTAACCATTACACTTAACACATCTGTCCCCAGCTCCCTAAGGGAGTCAGCTATGCCGAACATGTCATCTTGCTTTTTTTGTTCAAAGATTTTCTGAAAAAGAAAACATGCTGAGGGGAAATAAAAAGTTGCCAAGGATGTATATCACAGTATGTGGGACTTCAACATTCTTAAATTTCTGTATTTACATTCAAATGAGTGTATCTTTTGCAAAGAACAAAAAAAATTGATTTTTTAAATATAAAAACACTAGTAGAAAATTGTATTGTTGAGGTGGGTGCAGGTGACTCACACCTGGAATCCTAGCTACTCAAGGGGCTGAGATCTAAGGATTATGGTTCAAAGCCAACCCGGGCAGGAAAGTCCATGAGACTCTTATCGCCAATAAACCACAAGAAAACGGGAAGTGGTGCTGTGGCTCAAGTGGTAAAGCTAGCACTAGCCTTGAGCTAAAGAGCTGAGGGACAGCACCCAGGCCCAGAAGCCCCAACAACAACAAAAAAAAATTTTTTTAATTAAAAAAAAATACACACACACACATACGCGCGCACGTATCTTATAGAATAAAATTGCTCTCCAGTAATCCTTATGTTGGTAACCTACTTTACAGCTAATCACTTCTACTTTCACTAAAATGAGACAAAAATACCACTATTTCTGTATTTTGTACTGGATTTTTTTTTTTTGGGTTAGTTGTGGGGCCTGCACTCGGCCTGAGTGCTGTCCCTCAGCTCTTCAGCTCAAGGCAAGAGCTCTACCATGTGAGCCACAGCGCCACTCCCAGCTTTTTCTGCTTATGTGGTACTGAGGAATGGAACCCAGAGCCTCAAGCATATGAGGCAAGCGCTCTACCACTGAGACACCTTCCCAGCCCCGTGTTTGGATTATTTAATAAACTACACTTTCCATTTTTTTCTCTTCCAACTGTGTGAAATATTTCCTCTCTGATCTATGAGGGACAAAACACACCATTTGCAAATGTGAAGTAGAGTGAAATTCTACTCCATATGAAAGTGAAATAGAAATATGAGAAGGGGAGAAAAATCTGCTTCAAATAGTACTAAAGTTTATATAAAAAGAGTTACTTGGTGCCAGGACATTAGGCTAATGTAAAGGATAGAACAAACCACACAACAAATCAATTCTAAAACGTTCTCTGCAATTTTAATTTTTAAAAGCCAAGTTCAGAGCACACTCCAAGCAATGGTTTGCTCTCTTTTGTTAAACAGAATATATCAGAAAACAAAACAAAAAGTTTTAAATAATTGTTTTAAAAATTATGTCTCTAAATTTTTTGTAAAGCTAACAATTACCAGTCACCTAAATCTTTGTTTCATAGTAAACATGTAAGAAATGTAATGAGTCTACCCAAAATCATACTCCCTGAAATGTGGTTAAAAGCATTACAGAGCCAAAACAGAAAGAACATATTTTTTAGAAAGAACATATTTGGCATTTTAAAATGTTAAAAGAAAAGCTTTCAAATATAAATGTCTAGGTTGTTTTTTACTTTCTACTACCAGACTGGAAATTTGGATCTTCAAGTGGTGCTGGTCTGACCGTAATACCTGGAGGAATGATTGGGCAGTAGCCAATGAACTTCACCCCAAACAAAACCAATGTACTTTTCCAATACAGTGCTTACTTGTTCCAAAGTAATGTCTGACCAGTGCTAAAAACTATTAAAATTGAAGCCAGACACATCCAATTAGCTGGTTAATTTGGCACCCAACTTGTTTTATACACACTTTTCACCCTTCATTATCCCTATTATCCCTAATGCTCTATTCTTTTAAAATCAATAATCAATACATATCTAATTTTACTGAAATGTAAACTGAAATTTGTTGGATTGACTTCAGTAAGATATGTCAAACATGGTTAAGTCTTATACTCTGTTCTTTCATATAATTTACATATTCATTACAAATGCAGAACAGCAACATCATGAGTTACTTCTCATCCATTTTAACTTAATTGTAGAAAGGCTGAAAGTTAGTTTTAAAATGAGGTTATGAAGTTCTTACAAAATTATCTCTTCCAGAAATCTACAATTCTTTTCTTGGATATGAGCAAGGAAAAGCAGAATTCAACTGATTTTCATGTACCAATAAAAGTATTGCTTATTTGTATTTCCACCAGCTCTTCTAAAACAGTTTCCACTTTCAACACCCACTAAGGAGAAAAAATTTCCCCACAGCATCATGGTCACAGCCTAGAGGGGCTCATTTTAGGCTGAAAAATATTTGAGAAAGGCTGCAACACAAAATAGGGAGGTAAATAAAGCAATGTGTTGTCACAACATTTCCCTTGTAAACACATCTGTCCCTCTCCTTTCAGGAAGAGTTACCTAAGTTTTAATAATTCTCATCAAAACATTTTCTACCACGGGTCATGTAAAAATCCTGTCTCCTTCCCTAGATGAACTATAGCTGTTAAAGAATTGTATTATTCTGTCCGTAGGATGAGAGGTAGTGACATTTTATTCTCTCAATGCCGAGCTAAAAATTCCACACATCTGGCACATGGATTACAAGGGGAAAAGCACAGAAGCACCACTGTCCACTCCTCTTGTGTTGGAATTCCTAGTCACCCACACTACACTCACTGTCGGCGCTGACATTCACCGCCATGTTGATTCGGAAAGCCGTGCGCACTAATGCTATTCAGCAGACATCACTGGCGGGCCTCCATCATCTTTCAAAAATGAAGCAGCTTTTCTTCCATTCTTCTGAACATGATCTTCATTCATTTTCTCCAAAGCTTCTATCTACAAGATCAATACATTGAGCTCATTTGTCAAATTGCCCACTTCACATAAACTACACCTTAGGTTGGAGTGGAATTTTCACTCTAACACTAGGCCATCTCTTATGATGCTAGTCTTGGAGCACAATTATTCTATGTATGTTGTACACATGCATGTGCATATATATGCATGCTTTTTAATGGACTATATAACCACAGTCAAGATCTTTATGAAGCCAGAAATTGGAGTATGATATGCTGAGTACTTTGTAGAGTTTTCCAAACTCACAACAAAGGAAAATTTCAACATCTTGGAAAACACAATAAACCTTACTGAACAGAGTCACCTGGGGAATTCTGAGAAAGATTCTATAATCATCTTCTGCTTTGGTAAAATGTTGAGAGTAATTAGCTGTTGGTGTGTGTGTGTGTACATACACATACATGCATATGCATACACATACACACACACACACATGTGCTGATCCTAGAGCTTGTAATCAGGGCCTAGCGCTGTCCCTGAGCTTTTGTGCTCAAGGCTAGTGCTCTATCACTTGAGCCACAGCTCTACTTCTAGCTTTTTGGGGTGGTTAATTAGAAATAAGAGTATCCCTGACTTTCCTGCCCAGGCTGGCTTCAAACCAAGATCACCAGATCTTAGCCTCAGCTGAGAGTGAGCCACCAACACCTGGCTTGTTTCATTTTTTAGTACTTGTTCAATTATAAAAAAAAAAAAAAAAAAAGAGTCTGCAGTGAGCTGTTTTAAATTTGTGTGTTTTCCCCCCTTTTTTCTTTCTGTAGTCTCCCTTTTGGCCCAGACCAGCCTGGAGTTTAATTTTCCTATCTCACTTGTGGCTGGGATAACAGGTACATTACCACTATACCCAGCTTTCCCTCCACCCCTTATCAATGTTTGAACTCATGGCCTTGAGCTTTCTCAACTGCCTTGCTTGGCCAGAGCACTACCACTTGATCTATGTTCCACAACAGCTTTGTACTAGTTATTTTGAAGATGGGAGTCTCATTGACTTTTCTGGCCTGGCTGGCTGCAAATGGAGATCCACTGAATTTTAGGCTCCTGAGTAGCCAAGATTATAGTTATGAGTCACCATCACCTGACTATACCCAGCTTTTTACTGGCTGAAACAGGGTCTTGTGTAATTTTGCCTTCACTCATTTTGAATTACAACCTTTTTTTTTAAATAAATTTTTTATTGTGTTGAATTACAATCTTGATCTCAGTCTCCCTAATGGCTAGATTTATAGGTACAGGCCCTCATGAAAGGCTTTGCTTTTCCTTTTTTAAATGTTTCTGTGACTCTGACATTGAGAAGTATTTCTAACAATGGCCATTTCTAACTTTCTGTGTTCTGTTTAGGGGCAGAGACCACATGTTCCTGCTTTGTCACTGGGTGTTTACCAGTCAGCTTCCTCATTCTTACCACAGGGGAAAATGGGACTCAAGTGGAAAGAGAGTCCTTTTCAACCAAACTGCATGTCTTGAAAAAGTAATTTTTTTTGTTTTGATTTTGTTTTGGTGGTGGTACTAGAGTTTGAATTGAGGGTCTCACGCTTGCTAAGTAAGCAGTCTACCATTTAAGCCACACCTCCAGTTCTTTTTGCTTTCAGGCTCCTTTTCAGATAGGGTCTTCCTTTTTGCCTGAGGGCAGCCTTAGTGAAATCTGCCTACCCACAGCCTACCTATCTGGGCTGACAGACGCTCATCACCACACTCAGCTTGTTTGGTTGCGATGATGAGTCTCACTAACATTTTGTCTGGGCTGGCCTTTTATAGTCTTTCCAATCTCTGCCACCTTAGCAGTTGAGATTACAGGTGTAAGCTACCTTGTTTAGCAGAAGACAAGTTTTGCTAAAAGTTATTCTAAGTTTTTAATCCTGAAAAGGACCAAAAGCAACTCAAGAAGTGAAGCATCTCAAATTAATTTTGTTTAGGGAGAAGAGAGCATAAAATTAGCTCTGCGTTTCCACGATCTCTTCCCTGCAGCTTCCCATAGCCTAGAAAGGGAAAAAGAGTTGTAGATCACTTACCTCAGCTAAGAAATCAGCTTCATTATCTGCTGAGATGTGCAAGCCTGAAACAGCATTGAAGAGCTCCCGCTCACCAAGGGCTTCCTTTACTCCTCCTTTCTGGAAAAACTAACAGCAAAATAGAAGAAAGTAAGAGAGGAGCAACAGCAAGCTCCCTCATAAACTGAGCTATGGACCTGCAAAGAATCATTGACTAAATTCCTTCTAGCATTTTTCAGCTACTGATTCTTGGACTCTTAAGATATATGCTCAGGTCCTATTTGAATTTGTCTTTTTTTTTTTCTGGTCATGGGGCTTGAACTCAAGGCCTGGGTGCTGTCCCTGAGCTTCTTTTGCTCAAGATTAGCACTCTACCACTTGAGCCACAGCACCAGTTCAGTTTTTTCTATTTATGTGGTACTGAGGAATCAAAGCCAGGGCTTCATGCATGCAAGGCAAGCACTCTACCACTACGCTGCATTCCCAGCCTCTGATTTTGTCCCTTCTTACACATCTATTCTGCTTCTGAATAGAGTGCCTTCTTTGGTTATCAAAATGGGTTTTAGATTTTATCAACAACAAATTAACATTTTCAAGCAGACTCAGAGATCATTTCCAACATAAGTTATTTTATTGTTTATAAAGGTCATTTATATCTGATTCTATTCCTAACAAGTCATTTCCCTTAGAAATGGCAACCAATGTGACCCAGCCTCTGCTTGAGTTTTACTTCTCTGTTTTTTATTCTGCTTTCAACAACAGTGATATCTCTCTATGGGGCCATCTTCCTTTTATTGCCAATGATAATGATAATGATAATGGCAATAAGCACAAAGGTTTACTGTATACTAGCTTCCGCTTAAGCACTACGCATGAATTAAATGTCTATTCAACTCCTTAAATATTGAGTCCAAGCAAAAATATATCCCTTGGAAATGTTGTTCAAATATGAAACATATGATAAATTCTTGCTGAAAATTAAACATAATCTTTATATCCTTACTTGAAAGGCAATTAGCATTCCCTTCCATCAATTTCTTTGAATTTGGTCCTCTTACTAACCTTAAGGGTAAGAAAAATATTTGAACCTGTCATATCCTATTTAAAAAGGCATACTGGTTTACGTGCCTACCTGTGAAACATTCCTACAGTCACGGAACAAGAACTCCAGGCCATGAGGATGAGTTGGTTCTACTGACTGACTGACATCAATCAACCAAACCTATTTAGTATAGAGCACAAAAATGGATATATTTACATTCAGTAATTTACATGAATGACAAAACATGAACATTAAATATCCTGCTCACCTTTCCAGCATGCCATAGCATGTTATACTCGCTGAGGTCAGCATGTACGAGAGTGCATTCATTATACAACTTCTGCATCAACTGTGAGGAAGGAGGGCACACAGTTAGGCAATGAAGAAATGATCCTAATTTACCTCTTCAACTGCATGGCATCAGTAGTTAATGCCTATAATTCTAGCCACTTAGGAGCCTGAGATACGAGGATCGAGGATCATGGTTCAAATACAGCCTATACAGGAAAGTGCACATGACTCCATCTCCAAACCCCCCAGCAAAAGCCAGGCTGGAGTTGTGGAAAAAGTAGTAGAGCACTATCTGAGAGAACAAGACAAGCAAGTGTGAGGGCCTTAGTTTAAACCCTGGTATCAGCAAAACATTAATTAATATGTATATTAACAAAGATTGCCCAGGAAAACAGAGCCAAGTTAAAACTTAATTTTTTTCAGTGCTGGGGATAAAAACCTAGAGCCTGTCCAGACCACTCTGCATCCCCAGCTCCAAACATACTTCCTCTTCACTGTATGTATCTAGGACTGCACTTTTGTTGTTGATTAGATGGTGGGAATAGCAGGACAATGGAATAAAATCAGTGTGCGGCACTTCTTTGTCCTGTGACAAGAAGACTGGTAGGTCAGATTTGGATTTCCACATGGATGGTAACCATGTCATGATCATTAACCAGAAGACTGAGGTAAGTCATTTCATTCTATAAGAGGACCAATGTCCTAATAACTCAAGTTGAAAAATATTTCCTGTCAGACCTTGATAAAAAAGAAAAGAATAGAATTCGGGCACAGGTGGCTCACACCTGTAATCCTAGCTACTCAAGAGGCTGAGATCTGAGGATCAAGGTTCAAAGCCAGCCTGGGCAGGAAAGTCCCTGAGACTCTTAACTCCAATTAACCACCAGAAAATTGGAAGTGGTACTGTGGCTCAAGTGGTAGTGCGCTTGCCTTGAAATGAAGAGCTCAGGGAGTACCCAACCCCAGAGTTCAAGCCTCACAACAAACAAAAAAAGAAAAAAAGAGGGCTGGGAAGGTGGCTCAAGGGTAGAGTGCTTGCCTTGCATGCACGAGGCCCTGGGTTTGATTCCTGAGCACCACATAAGCAGAAAAAGCCAGAAGTGGCACCATGGCTCAAGTGGTAGAGCTCTCGCCTTGAGCTGAAGAGCTGAGGGATAGAGCCCAGGCCCAGAGTTCAGGCCCCAGGACCAACAAAAAAGAAAAAGAGATACTCTTGTTTTTGTTCTGTTCTGGAGACTATGTCCCAATATATAACCTATTAGACTCAAACGTTCCACTCCTGCTGAGCCTTCTTGAGTGCTGGAATTACAGGTGTGCGCCACCCTCCTCCACTAAGAGAGATTTCTTTAAAGTAAGTAACATTATATAGTCACTATTGATCTGATCCCCTAGCCTCATAGTAGGGACAGTATTAATGTATTTACTCACTACTGTTAATAGACTTAAATAGCAATGCTTTATCCCTACTTCATCTCTTCCACAGCCACCCCCACTCTGGGGCTGGAAGAACCTTTCACTGTTTTCCTACTGGAGACAAAGAAAGGCAGCTCCTCTCCCTGACTGTATCTTAACAAATTGGACAGCACTCACGTGAGCTGCTGCCTGACATAATGGCTTCATGCAGAGCCAATGTAAAGTGCTCACCATGTGAGGAGGAATGATGACAATATTAGGAGCATTGTCCTAAGGTTAATTCAGGTGCTGCCATACAGTATGAGTTAGTCTATGGAGGCAGCAGGGAGGGTGTGTGTTTGTGTGCTTCCAATTCTATCTCTGGACTCTATTTAATTTTCCATCCCCACTACCATCACTTATGAGACCAAATCTGTTGCCCTCTGATTTCCTAACAATGGCTATTCCCTCACTGTGTTTGTCATAGTATTCAAAGAGGCATGCAAATTAATAAGGCTCTAGACCTGCTAAACGCAATGATATTAACTTTATTTAATGAAGTTTTGTGCATTTCTATGTCATTAATTCTAATAAAAAAGCTTTTTCCTGCTCCATAGGTCTTTAAGTTTTCTAAAATTACCCAAGATATGTATAAAGACAACTCTTTGATATTAACATTCCTTCATAAACTTCAGTTTTCTTTGTTATGCTACCTTGAAGTAGTACTATTTGAGGAATTTTTTTACTGTATTTTTTTGTTTGTTGATTTGTTTTGCTTTTAAGGTAGGGTCTCACTACAGTGCCCGGGCTGGCCTTGAATCCCTGGGCACAAATGATCCTCCTGTCTCAGCCTCCCAAATTGCTGGGACCATAGGCACACACCACCATATTTGGCTGGAGGAATCTGTTTTAAAACTCAGTGTATGTATGAATGCTGTTAAAAGGACAACTTACATGAAGAGTTTGGTAGTAGGCTTCTTTCATTTCTTCACTACTGAGCTTTACTTCTTTTAATTTAGGGGCTGGAACTTGATCATGACCAATAAAAGACATAACTAAAATATGTTTCTTGAGTAGTACAACTGTTGGACAAGGAATTCCAGCTCTCTGCATTCTACAGAGAAAGAAAGAATGAAGACTATAAAGATCAGAAGGAGAAAATGTGTCATTTATTCAATAAATACCTAATCTGGAACTGCAATGAGCAGGCTCTATGCTATACATGGTGCTGTGGGAATACAAAATAGGAAGACATAGCCTCTCGTGCAAAGAAGCTGTGATGGTGGAATAATATGTTTTAGCAGAGATGTAGGGGGGCTCCAAAGCTCCTAGCAACAAGGAAGAGGAGGGGAGCAGAGTTGGCCAGATGAAGACAGTGTGTAGAATGCATGGTTCATTTGGGAATGTAAATCAGCCAGCCTAGCTGGATGTGTGAGGGGGAAGGAGAGGGGTGTTGAAGAGAGGTGTTGAAGCCACAGAGACTAGCAGGATACACGTCGGGAAAGATCTTTAAATTCACAATAAAATCTATGGGAGGCTACTGAAGAATCTTAAGAAAAGCAAGGAACAAAGTACCGGAATATAGAAAAGATCGAAGGGCAGCTGCTCTACTAATTTCTAAGAAATTTTGCAAACTAATGTGGATAATTCCTTTTGAAAATGTCTACATGAAATAACTAAAATTTTCAATAAATTATGGGAATGTTTATTAATGTGTAAGGTTATTATTCAGTTTCTTGGTTGATAAAACATATTCTTTGACCAAAAATAAAATGCTTAAACTGAGAAGTCCAATAAATTAAAGCAAAGTGAAGTTTGATTGGTTGAGATATTATCCCCAGCTATTAACAAAGTACTGTATTAATCATTTCTAAAATAAAAAGGGAAAACATTATTTGTAATAAGCCTAACATTTTCCTTCCTTCTGTCCTTTCTTTCTTTCTTCCTTCCCTCCCCCTGCCCCCTACCCTGGCTCGTTTGCTTGCTTGGCTTGAACTCAGGGCCTGGTCTATGTCCCTGAATTTTTTTTTTGCTGAAGGCTACACTCTGCCACTTGATCCACAGTTCCACTTCTATTTTTTAAAAAATATATTGGTGGTTAACTGGCAATTAAGAGTCTACAGACTTTCCTACCCAGGCTGGCTCTGAACCATAATCCTTAGATCTCAGCCTCCTGAATAGCTAGGATTACAGGCGTGAGCCACCAGCACTCTGCTATATTTTAAATCTTAATAAAGACAATTTAAAAGACAAAAACTTATGACATGTGATAAAATGTCTTCAATCCCCTCAAATATTGTTGAGGAGAGAAAAAGGGAAACGGCTTTTTCATCATAAAAGTCTAAATTTAAGTTGTATATATGAAAATGTTTTCTCAGTCTCATTAAGCACTAGAATTTCAAGGTCTTTCACTATTTTTTTTTTTTTTTTTTGGTCAGTCATGGGAACTCTGGGCCTGGGCGCTGTCCCTCAGTAATTCAGCTCAAGACCAGAGCTCTACTATTTGAGCCACAGTGCCACTTCCAGTTTTCTGGTGGTAAATTGGAGATAAAGAGTCTAAGGGACTTTCCTGCCCAGGCTGGCTTTGGACCATGATCCTCAGATCTCAGCCTCCTGAGTAGCTAGAATTATAGGCATGAATCATCAGCACCTGGTGATCTTTCACTATTTCTATAGAATTTAAAAGCAAGCATAGGGCTTTTGCCTTTCTATAAGAAGGCAGTTCCCAAGATTACTTCTAGCATGATTTTCTTTACCTTGTGAGATTGTGCATTTCTTTTTCTGCCCACATGCGGATGATCTTACGTGGATTTAGTTTACTGAAGCGATCTTTAAACCTGAAATCATCTTTAATATATTTGTCACGATTCTTAAACTCATTAAGGGTTGTTTTAAACACTTTGATGGCACATTCTGCAGGTATAGCTTTACCATCTTCCTTTTCATCCTCCATGCTAAGAAGAAGAAAAATCAAGTTAGTACAAGTTACTCGCTCACAGTAAAACAAATAAAGATGCTATAACACTAAAATATGTCTGTCTTCTTCTCTTGATAAGCCTTCAAATTTCTGATCAGACTAGCCTCAAATGATACTCCTTCCTCAAGCTTTCCAAGATGCTAGAAGTATAACCATGCATCACTGGTACCTAGATAGTTTGTGTGTTTTAAATAAAACATTGTCCAAGCTTTGAATCCGGCATATAATGTTCTTCACTTGTGTTTGCTTCGGCAGCACATATACTAAAATAATGTTCTTCACTTAATGAACAATGAAAAGACATGCATTTCAAACAGGCTACAGACACCTGAGATGGTCTAAGAAGCAACACACAGTATGTACACACACACACACACACACACACACACACACACACACACACACACACACACACACACACAGATAACTCTTTTGTACCTAACAGATACAAAGGTCAGTAAAGGGGCTCTTGCCCTGTAAATGGCAAAGAGGACAAGATACAACGAAGGAAGTAAATATAGGCAAAGCTACATGACAACAAGTGTCACCTGAAATAGAATGAAGGCAAAGGGTAAGATGGGAACAGTATTAAAAGCAGAGGCAGGACTTGGCTGACATGGAAGTAAAGGGACAGAATGGAGAGAGATCTATGAGAGACCTATGCCTTCCATAAGGGTAGCAGGTTATCATGAGGGCTCTTGAGCATGGCACTTTCAAACTACATACGTAAGGAAGACCAAGTGAACCAGAATGTCAAGATAAGAGGGAGAAAGGCTAGAGGAGTGGCACCAACTCAAGAGGTTTTGCAACAGTGAGCTCCTCAAAGGGTTTGAATCAGGGTGGAGGTAGTGGGAAGAAAAAGATGTAACAAGAGAAGAATTTACCTTAAATATCTAAAGAGAGGTTCACCTAGAAAAGAAAGGAATCCTATTTCCAGAGGGAAGATTCTCAATCAAATCTTCCAAATTCCTCTGTACTTAATTTCCTGGCTAAGTTCCCTCCTCCATTTGGCCTCAAATGGAATGTGCAGTGGTATGTACCTGTAATCCTAGCTGCAGTAGGCTAAGAACAGAAAGATCAGCTCAGTTCCAGACCAGCTCAGGCAAAGTTTGTGAGACTTTATCTCAATGAAAGAAGCTGTGGGCTGGGCGCCGGTGGCTCACGCCTGTAATCCTAGCTTCTGAGGAGGCTGAGATCCAAGGATCGCGGTTCAAAGCCAGCCCAGGCAGGAAAGTCCATGAAACTCTTCTCTCCAATAAACCACCAGAAAACCAGAAGTGGTGCTGTAGCTCAACTGGTAGAGCTCAGCTGAGGGACAGCGCTCAGGCCCAGAGTTCAAGCCCCACAACAGACCAAAAAAAAAAAAAAAAGTAGAAGAAGCTGTGTATGCTAGTGGTTTACACTTATTATTCCAGCCAAAGAGGGAATCAGAAAATAGGGCTGCAGTCTAGGTGTCCCTGGCAAAAAGTGAGTCCTTATCTCAAAATAACCAGACCAAACAAGGGCTGAGTGATAGAATACATGCCTAAGAAGGGGGAGACCCTGAGTTCAAAGCCCTAGTACTACTTGAAACACAAAGACTTCTTATGTTTCTTTTTCACCACCACTTTAGTCCAAATCACCACACTGTTCATTTAAACTATATTAAGACTTTTTTGGATGCAACCAGGAATTGAACCCAGGGCTTTACACATGCTATGCACGTATGCAAGTGCTAGATCATCAAGCCACATTACTAAGAATTTTTATCATAATTCTTTTTTTTTTTTTGGTGAGTCGTGGGGCTTGAACTCTGGGCTTGGGCACTGTCCCTCAGGGCTTGGGCGCTGTCCCTCAGCTCTTCAGCTCAAGTGCTCCACCACTTGGGCCACAGTGCCACTTCTGGTTTTCTGGTGGTTTATTGGAGAGAAGAGTTTCATGGACTTTCCTGCCCGAGCTGGCTTTGAACTGCGATCCTCAGATCTCAGCCTCCTGAGTAGCTAGGATTATAGGCGTGAGCCACCAGCGCCTGGCCCATAATTAATTTTTCATTTTTCCTTAAAAAAATCTAGGTCATCTTTGGAAAACAAAATCGTATCTTTAGTGCTCAGTGCAATAAGTAAACAGCAGACTCCTTGCCCTGGCTCACACAGTCTTGCCTGCCCTAATTGCAGTCATAGGGCTTAAACTCATGGCCTGGGTTATCCCTGCGTTCTTTTGCTCAGGGCTAGTGTTCTACCACTTTGAGCCACAGCTCCACTTCTAGTTTTCTGGTGGCTAATTGGAAATAAGTCTCATAGGCTTTCCTGCCCAGGCTGGCTTTGAATTGCAAACCTCAGATCTCAGCCTCCTGAGTAGCTAGGATTTCAGGCATGAGCCACTGGCACCTGCCTTGCCTCACTTGCATTACTCCCTCAAAGACAACAAAGAGCATACTGCTGGTGGCAGCGTAAGTTAGATTGGCTTCTCATAGGACAACCCAGCAGTATATTCTGACATTCAGAATATACCCAACCTGTAAATCTGGCTAGCTTCTAGGCTGGCTAAATAAGCCAAATGGCACTAATACCACTCAAAGGTAAACAAATTCAAGATTCTGACCACTGAATTCATACAACAAGTTTTAAAAATATATTTTTCATAGACAAGAAACATTACGTGCTATATAGCCAGCTCACAGACCCAAACAATGAACAAAACCGAATACTCTTCCGCTATTTAACAAATGAAGAAGGGAACCACAGACTTTGGCCTGGTAATCCTTAGGCCTTTGGCCTAAAGGTATACTTGTAGAAATACAGTTAGATATACCTATAAGAACATTGCTGGATGTCACATAATAGAATATACTATTATTTAAAAATAGGTGGGTACAAGCCAGTAACATAGTTAAGGCCTAAGACACATTAATTAACTGAAAAAAAAATGATTCTGGGGGCTGGGAAGGTAGCTCGGTGGTAGAGTGCTTGCCTCGCATGCAGGAGGCCCTGGGTTCCATTCCTCAGCACGACATAAGCAAAAAAAGCCAGAAGTGGTGCTGTGGCTCAAATGGTAGGGCACTAGCCTTGACTAAAGAGCTGAGGGACAGGGCCCAGGCCCAGAGTTCAGCCCCCACAACTGACCAAAAAAAAAAAAGATTCTGAATGGAATCTCTTTTCATAAGCAAAGTACAAATGTATATAATCTCTAGATAATTAAAGTTATGACTAGTGGTTTCTTTAGAAAAAAGCTGCTGAGCAAGGGCAGGTGAGATGAAGGCTACTTTTCATATTAAACCTTTCTGTAATTTCTCAGGATCAATAATCTTTCATTTTAAAATAATTTGTAAGATGAAGCTGTATTTGCTGGGTCTCAGCTAAAATTTAGAAAGAGTGGGCTATTGGTTCATACTTACAATCCTAACTACTCAGAGGCTGAGATCTGAGGACTACCACTCAAAGATAGCCCAGGAAGAGAGGTCTAAGAGATTCTTACCTCCAATTAACCAGTGGGGAGGGGGAAATAGGAGGTAGATTAATGGCTCAAGTGATACAGCAGTCTTAAATGAAAAAGCTACGCATGATTGGGAGGCCCCATGTTCAAGCTCCAGTATCAGCACACACCAAAAAAAAAAAATAGAAAGAAAGAAAATCAAGCATTAAGGAAGTGACTAAGATTATACCAAGTACTATTAAATATGATCTCATCCAGACAAAAATCCTATGATGTAAGGAAGATATTTTATTCAAGATGCAGTAACTGGCTCTAGATGACATAACTTGAAAAATGTAAGCTCTATACCCCCTTCACCCCATCCCCCCTTTTTTTATGGTTCTGTGGGTAGTAAGCATTCACTCTACCATTGAGTTACACCCTCATGACCAATATTCCTTTTTATCGTCTTCACATTTAAAACTTAACTGTATATGATTATATGTACATGTTTTATCTAGACAGACTAGTTAAGAGAACTAATCAGAAGGCTTGACCAATAGTCATTGAATCTAAAGTACAAAATAAATACCTTCTATAACACCTTTTTTCCTTCTTTTTTTTTTTTACTGGGTTTGAACTCAGGGATTTTGACTTGCAAGCAGGTACACTATCACTTGAGCCATACCTCCAGTCCTTTTAGTTCTGGTTATTTTTGAGATAGTCTCACTTTTTTGCTTAGTCTACTTTGGACCATGATCCCTCTTTATGCTTCCTGACGTAGCTGGATGACACACTGGATGATAGGCACTGAATCATATACGTTGGTCACCACACTGAGCTTTTTCTATTAAGATGGGATCTCAACCTCTCTGCCCATCAAACTGCATTCTTTCCAATCCAAGTAGAGGAATACCACACTCCTGGTCAACAATAACATTTTTTCAATTACCCTACTTGCCATGTAACATTAGCTTTGACTTTTGTGTGAACCCACCAATCCTGGGACTTTTTGTTCATGTGATGTTACAGTATTTGCTCATTTACCTCCCTCCATATGCATGAAAGACAACAGATTCTTTTCCTGTACTAATACAGCCAGTGATTGTCTCCAACATTCCAGAGTTGACCATTTTATACATAAGTAAACGTGTCTTAGGATCAACTGCTTTTTCCTGCAAAAGATAAAGTACTATAAGCACAAAATATTTGTGAGCCATTTCCAATAAGCATCTAACATTTAGAATATTCCTTTTTAAAACTCTTTTATTATTGAATTTACTTAGATGTATATAAAACAGACTCTGAAAAAGAGTGCTGCCAAGATCCAACTCTCTTATAAATGTAACTCTAATGTCTTAAAAGTAAATACCTGGGACAAGCTATTGGGACCAAGCAAGGGCCTCTGGGTTTCAGCTTAGACAGCCCAGGAGGTTAAGAGGCAGGTCTGGTGACAGTCTCTAGTTTAGGCTAGAATCACCATTTCTGAAAAGTACATCCCCAGGGATATCAGGTTTCTTGCAGAACTGCTAAGGCTGACTGAGCAGAGTTACAATGATCAGCGTAGGAAGAGTAGGCAAGCTACTAGTGAAGGAGACTACCCAAGGAGGCTAGCATGGGTGGGTGAGAAGGAGAGTTTCTAAGTGGGGACCAAGGGCAGAAATCTAATGAGAGCAACACGGGGCCCAATCACCTCTCTGGCTACACCCACCCACACCCAGTACTGGAAGCATCTGAGGAGCACAGTTTATCTGCTGTGCCTCTACAGTGCACTCTGGGAAAGCCCAGCTCTAGTCCCTCTAGTTCACCATAGCCCCAATGTGAAGATGCATGTGCAAGACTCTGAGGGAGAGAACTTCTGGTGCTCAAGCTTAAGAGCATCAGCAGAACCAGTCCTAAGCAGGAACCCCTGGCCACATATTCTTCAAGGAAAGCCTAGCCATGAGACTTACATCACATATTTGTGCCCACCCATTCTGCCCCTTCCAGGTAGGCACAGAAGTGGACCAGGTACTGAGACAGTCACAGGTACCTTGTGTGGCACCAAAGCCAAAGGCTACAAGGGGCAATCAGTACTCAGGATTCACTGACCATAATACCTTTCCCCTGACTTCTGGTTCCCGTCCACTTCATCCACTATAGAGAACATTTTGCTCCAGAAAGACTAAACTGAAGCACAGGAGGTGCTGCCATCCCTTTCCTCCAGCACAGAACACATGGGAAGAGGACTAGAGGGCAAAGGGTGGCATCATCTGCTTCCTCTTTCCCCTGTGAAAGCAATGAACATGCACCCCCCCCCAACTCCCAAATTTACATTTTACATTCATACTCCAAGACCAGGAAAAAAGCAGTTACAGATGGTAAGGGATAGGCACTAGGATTAATTAAGTTAGTACAAATGCTGTATCTCTCAATTTCATATACAGACAAAAAGCCGGGCACCGGTGGCTCACGCCTATAATCCTAGCTACTTAGGAGGCTGAGATCTGAGGATCGAGGTTCACAGCCAGCCCGTGAGACTCTTATCTCCAATAAACCACTAGAAAACTGCAAGTGGCGCTGTGGCTCAAGTGGTAGAGCTGAAGAGTGCAGGACAGCATCCAAGCCCAGAGTTCAAGCCCCACGATCGACCAAAAAAAAAGAAGTCTACCATCACTAACCCTTGACCTTCCTGACCTCCAGTTTCAGCTTTAGACTAAGTCTACCTATGTAGCTAGACTACTAGGGTAGGCCTGTTCATCAGGGCCACTGCTGTGTAGCACAGAGACACTTTTAGAAATCAGGAGACAACACTTCTCCTAGTCCTTAGCAAGAATCAAACTCCTAGAACCTTTCCTTTCAAGAGGTGTGCTCTTTACTTTTTCATTCTTCCCTTAATCTAAAAAATAGAAATTAAAAACCAAAACCAGAGCCAGTCACTGGTAGCTCATGCCTATAATCCTAGCTACTCAGGAGGATGAGATCTGAAGATCACGGTTCAAAGTCAGCCCAGGCAGCAAAGTCCATGAGACTCTTATCTACAATTAACCACCAGAAAACTGGAAGCAGTGCTGTGGCTCAAGTGCTAGAGTGCTCTCCTTGAGCTGAAGAACTGAAGGACAGCACCCAAGCCAAGAGTTCAGGCCCCCACGGCCAAAAAAAAATACAAAAAAACCCAAACCCAAAACTAAAACCAATCTCGTTAGCTTAATCAAAATCTTACTGTATCACCAAAACTTAAAACAGCTTTCCTATTATTCTTACAAATTAGGTCCTTTTTGTGTGAGTGTGTGTGCCTGGCGTTCTCTCTGAGCTTTTGTGTTTAAGGCTAGCACTCTCCCACTTGAGCCACAACTTTATTTCTGGCTTTTTGGTAGTTAGTTGAAGACAAGAATCTGAGTTTCTTGCCCAGGCTGGCTTTGAATCACAATGCTGAGATCTTGGCCTCTTGAGTAATAAGGATTACAGGCTTGAGCCCTGAAAGGTTATACTCAAAATAGTTTATCATCTTCATTAATGTAAAACAATGGAGATCATTAAGTAAAATATGCCAATAATAATGAGTCTCATAGACTTTTTTGCCTCGGCTGGCTTCAAACAGCAATCCTCAGATCGCAGCCTCCTGAATAACTAGGATTACAAATGTGAGCAACTGACTAGCAAGTAACTGCCCCCTCACTCCCCACACCCTGCCCCAGTCCAGGAGCTTGAACTCAGGGCCTGGGAACTGTCCCTGAGCTTCTTTTGCTGAAGGCTAGCACTCTACAACTTGAGTCACAGTGCCACTTCTGGCCTTTTCTGTTTATATGGTGCTGAGGAATCAAACCCAGAACTTCATGCATGCTAGGCAAGCACTCTACTATTAAGCCACATTCCCAGCCCCAGCAAATGTTTTTAAAAATCTTGTACACTCAACTGTAACATAACCTATATACTATGGCCACTAAAATGTGAGCTTTATATAAGTACCAAAGCTACAATGTAAAACACCAAAGCCATTTGGGATATTAAGCACAAAAAAAATGATTGATTTGAGAAATCTCATGAAAAAATATCAAACACATTTGTAAAATTTATTTATACTCTCAAACATGTAGTTTCTTATCTGATATCTCCCATTAAAGGAAAGCAAATTTTTTTAAAAAAACATAAAACTTAAGAATCCTTACCGCAGTAGAATGTTCTTTCTTCTCATGAAGGCGGGCACTTCGACGTTCTTCTGAGTAGGCATGTTGTTTTAAAGCATTGAAAACGTGGTTTGATAGTTTCAAATCCATTCCAATTCCATCTCCTACTTGAAACCCAGGTGCAAACTGATATAAATAGAAGAATTAGCAGCTAAACAATTTTAAGTGAGGACAAAAAAAACAAAAGTAGAACAGGGGAATAGGAGTCTTCACTTGGAATCAATTTTCTATTCCATAGATGGCCAGGCTATGAACACAGAACCTAGAGGCACACAGAGAAACAATACTATGAAAAGAAGTACAGTGGGGCTAGGAAGGTGGCTCAGTGGTAGAGTGGTTGCCTTGCATGCATGAGGCCCTGGGTTCAATTCCTCAGCACCACATAAACAGAAAAAGCCGGAAATGGTGCTGTGACTCAAGTGGTAGAGCACTAGCTTTGAACTGAAGAGCTGAGGGACAGCGTTCAGGCCCAGAGTCTAAGCCCCACGACTGACAAAAAAGAAAGAAAAGAAAAGAAGTACAGCCTAGAGGACAGAATTTATTCTATGCAAAGAAACCATCCAATCATATCTAAAACTAATCTCCTTCAGCATATGCTTCATATCAGCTAAAGAAAATAATGTTACACTGTTAGGTGTAACATTAGCCAAAGAAATTCAACTTCATAATTATTTGGAGGACTGAGTTCATGTGGCACAGTATGGAAAGGTCCCAGAGCTACACAGTCCAACTTAAGTAGCCACTGGCCACAGATGGATATTTAAATTTGAGCTAATTAAAATTAAATCCATAAGTCAGTTCCCTCATTGCATCATCTGAATTTCAAGTGCTCTTAATAGCAAAGAAAACTGCCATAGTAGAAAGAACTATAGTGGGAGCCGGGGGCTGGTGGCTCACGCCTATAATCCTAGCTACTCAGGAGGCTGAGATCTGAGGATCACAGTTCAAAACCAGCCCAGGCAGGAAAGCCCGTGAGACTCTTATCTCCAATAAACCACTAGAAACCCAGAAGTAGCGCTGTGGCTCAAGCGGTAGAGCGCTTGCCTTGAGCTGAAGAGCATAGGAACAGCGGCCAAGCCCAGAGTTCAAGCCCTACCACTGACCAAAAAAAAAGAACTATAGCTGGACTCCAGTAGCTCACACTTGTAATCCTACTCAGGAGGGAGGCTGAGATCTGAGGATCAGGGTTTGAAGCTGGCTGGGGCAGGAAAGTCCATGAAACTCTTATCTCTAATTGACCACCAACTCTTACCAAAAAAAAAAAAAAATTAAAAAAAAAAAGTGAAGCTGTGGCTCAAGTAGCACAGCACCAGTCTTGAGTACAAAAGCTCAGTAACAGTACCCCTAATACCAGCGCACACACACATGCATGCGCACGCATGCACACGCGCGCGCACACACACACACACACACACACAGTAAAAAGAAAAAGAGTAACACTTTTTTAAAAACAGTGCACTTTTTTAAAAAGTTATATTTTTTTAATTATTTTTTAAATTTCATTTCTTGAGTTTTTCAAGAGGCTGGAATGTAGCTCACTGATAAGAGTGCGTGCCTGAGGACCTGGGTTTGAGCTCTAGCTCCACCAAAAAAAAAGGAAAAAAAAACACACAAATAAAAAATGTTTAAAAAGGTACATAGTGGGCTGGGAAGGTGGCTCAGTGGTAGAGTGTTTGCCTTGCATGCATGAGGCCCTGGGTTTGATTCCTCAGCACCACATAAGCAAAAAAAGCCGGAAGTGGCACTGTGGGTAAAGTGGTAGAGTACTATCCTTGAGCTGAAGAGCTGAGAGACAGTGCCCAGGCCCAGAGTTCAGGTCCCACGACCAATTAAAAAAAAGAAGGTACATAGTAATAGTAAAAAGTATGTATCCCTCCTATTCCTAGTCCCAATCACCACTATTTATCTATTTCCTGGCTAGGAATGTTATTTTATAAAATTTTTTAAAAAATGTTATTTACAGACCAATGGATGGACCTAGAATAAATCATGTGAAGTAAGCTAAGTCAAGTTCACAGAGACAAATAGCACATGTTTTCTCTCATATGCAGAAGCTAGATCTAAAATATCGGGAAATAATAAATTATACAGGTCTCTAGGTATTCATAGACAGACCAAAGGAGGACACTCTTAGGAGAGGAACAGAAAAGCATAATGCCTATGTGCATCTAATCATACAAAATAATATTTATAAAAATGAACAGGAAATGAAATCAAGAGGTTTTTTCTTTCTTGCTGTTTTTGTTTTCTTTTTGTCCTGCTTGTTCTTTTATATATCTTTGGTAGTATAAAGGGAGGCACAGAAACGGAAGGACAAAGGGTGAACCAATGCAGCATGGTACTCACTGAATACTATGTTGCACGGGTGGCGATGGGAGGGAAAACTGCGAGAATGAGAGCGACACTGCTCCAAAACAAATGTACTCATTACCTGACTTATGTACCCGTATGTACCTATATGTATGTACCCTCTGTACATCTCCTTTATAACAAAAAATAATTATTTTAATTTAAAGGAATATGCTAAAGAATAAATGCTGCATAAAAATGATTTAATTTTAGAGTCATATAAATTTAAAAAATGAGGCAAGGGGTCTCCCCTTTGAGCCATATTCATAGTCTATTTTGCTTTAGTTTGTTTTCATATAGGATCTCATGCTTTACCTGGGCCAGGCTTGGACCATAATCCTCCTAACTCTACCTCTCAGTAGCTGGGATTACAGGTGTAAACCCTACACCGAGCTGACTTTACCCAGGCTGATATTCAACTGGGATCCTAGCTTCACCTTCCAAAAAACTTGGGATTACAGGAGCATACCGTTATATCTAACCTTATCCAAAATATTTTTAAAAATATTATTATAGGGTTTTATTCGGAAGTACTTTATACTCTGTGTCCAAATTTTCATATTGCTATATTGTCAGCCAGAACATCTTTAGAAGCAAAGGTGTTTGTACACATTTAAAAATTTTTAAGAGATGTTTAAAATTATATTCAAATAAAATGATCAATTCAGAGAGAGATATTTTCTTCAACTTACATTTTCCATTCTTGCTGTATTCTTTCTCCCACATACCACTTCATCATGTTTGGTAGTGATGTCTTTTCCTTTTCCAATAAAACCCTTTTTGGGAGTAGGAACTGGTTTTGCTAAAGGTGATTAAGATAAGCCAAGTATATAAAAGAGTAAATCACTATATTCAATATTGTATAAATACACATTTGAATCTAACGGAGTAAATCACCAAATAATATTCAAAGACAAATATGAAATAAAAGGGTTCATTGAAAAAAAAAAAAAGAATCTTCCTATTGCCACCCTTATTCCTCATCCCCACCACTCTGACATGAAAAGTACTGATGATACCTGGTCTATAGGGATCATCACGAGTATCTTGCCAGTCTACTTCATCTTCAGAGCTATCACTGTCTTCAAAAGGATGTACTTTTCGATAATTTTCAAAGGAAATGGAAACTTGAAAGACAAAACAGTTGAAGGTTGACTGAGGAACACAGTACAGAATAAGCATTTTGATCACCCAATGGAGTCATCACAGTAAGATTATAGTACCTTTGCTATCACCATTAAATTTTTTTTCTTCACGCCTAAGCTGTGCATCATACTCTCTGTCAAATTCCATCTGTAGCATCTGAGCCAGCATCAGGTCACTGGAAGTATCAATGTTTTCTCCAGAAATAAATGGTCCTTCAGCAACACTATCCAAAAAAAGGTGATAATAAACTACTATAGCATGTTAGTGCCAACAGAGTCTACCAATTTTGAGAATAGGATTGGTCTTTATAGTATTAAAAATCATACTAATAATGGTCAACAACTCTACCAAACCATTCACCTTTCCCTGCCCAATGAGACTCAAAACCAATGGCCTAAATCTATGAGAGCACCAACAGGATTAAGGGAGCAGAAAGAAGGCTAAACACTCCATCAGAAAATCCACAGACACAGAATACACTTTGCTCTGTGTTCAAGTCAAAGGACAGATAACCTGCATACACTCACACAAAGCCAAACAAAAAAATACCTTATGAAAAGACAAAGTACATACACTTGAAAATTGTACCTTGTCTAGTTCAACTACTGCATTAATATAAGGTAACAAAACCCAGAGAAACAGTCTTTGTCCGAGATAATATATAGGTTGAGTATCCTTTATGTGCCAAGATGTTTGGCACCAGAAATGTTTCAGATTTCAGTTTTCTCATTTGTTTTGGGGTTACTGGGATTGAAGCTGGGCATCAATCTTGTTAGGCTACCATTTGCGCCACACCTCCAGTTTGTGTTGCTGTAACAGTCACCACTATGTTCAGCCATTGTTAAGATTAAACTCTTGAACATTTATATGCCAGAGCTGACCTTGAATTACAATCCCCCGCATTTCTGCCTCCCAAATAGCTAAGATTATAGGCAAGATCTATCAAGGCTGATAGCTTTCTTACAATATTTGCAGAGATTACCAATTGATCATTCCTGGTCTCACACACACAACCACAAAAAAAAAAAAAAAGAAGAAGAATCCAGATACCCCCAAACCTGAATTTTTCTGTATGCTTTTTGAGTGCTAAAAACGTTTTGGCATTTTCAATCTGTATAGAATCAGAACCCAAATATCAGTAGTAGACTACCAGTAAGTTGCTCTTTCTACTGCCTTCCTTTTCTAAATGTATGCCCTAAACATTGGTCAGGACAATTATTAATCAAATCCTAAAACTCTCTCACAGGAAACAGGTAAAACAGATACTCTGTGAATTTTACTTACACAACTTCGGGGAAAGCAGCAGCTTCTTCTTCTAACTGCAATTCTTTAGCCAGCTGTTCACTCATCACATCAGCCAAAGAACAGGATATTGTGTTTTGAGGGGTGGCCCATGGACACTGTTTTAATAAAGAAGAAAATTATATATACCCATTTATAGCAATGAACTACCCATATAGATAAGGTTGTCTTTTGAGAATTGAACCCAAATTGAAGGAGAAGCTATTTACAGAAACCATTGTAAAGGGAAAAATAACTGCCATCTCATATCTCATCAAGGATAGCCATAAACAAAAATAGTAGAGCCATCTGGCAAGGATGGTAGGTATGTTCTTGGTTGAAAGAAGTAACAGGCCATTAGAGCATGCATCCCATTAGTCCAAGAGTTCAGCTACCTCCTCTTGTTCACACCTTGCTCACCAACCAATCTTCCACTTATAATTTAGAGTCCCAACTAGACTGTCTTCCAAGAATATTTTATACCATTTAGCATAATACAACTGTAAAAGTCTATATCAACCTCTCTTCAAGATATCTTGGTATGTTCTAAGACAAAACCAAATAACAAACTACAAATTAAGCCGGGCGCTGGTGGCTCATGCCTGTAATCCTAGCTATTCAGGAGGCTGAGATCTGAGGATTGCAGTTCAAAGCCAGCCCAGGCAGGAAAGTCCGTGAGACTCTCATCTCCAATAAACCACTAATAAACCGGAAGTGGCACTGTGGCTCAAGCAGTAGAGTGTTTACTTTGAGCTGAAGAGCACAGGGTCAGTGCCCAAGCCCAGAGTTCAAGCCCCACGACTGACAAAAAACAACAACAACAACAACCACAAATTATACTTATGAAGTTTAGAATTTTGAAACTAGACTTGTGAAACAATATGATAGTAGTAGTTATCTTCTCTCTCTGAGGCTCTTTTTGAACAGTTGATAAGCCAGTTGGCCATCCTCAATGACATGTTTTAGTGTGTGTGGTATTGGCATTTGCAATCAGGACCTCATACTTGCTATGGTGATGTTCTGCCACTGAGCCATGCCTCCAGTGCTGTTTTTCACCTGTTAATCTTAGGATAAGGTTTCCAGCTTGATGTGCACTTGGACTTAGATCCGCCTCTCTTAGGCTTTCCATAGTTGCTGAGATCACAGGCATGTGTCATTTCATCCAGCTTCCCACCATGGAAATGAAATCTTACGAACTCTTCTCCTCAGGCTGCCCTAGAATCTCAATCCTCCCAGTCTCAGCCTCCTAATGGATCTTGGGATGACAGGTACACAATGGCTTATGCCCAGGTATGGGTTGAAAACGTGTCTCAAACTTTTCTGCCTGGGCTGGTCTTGAACTGAAATGTTGCCAATCTTACCTTTCCATGTAACTAGCATTATAAAGTAAGCCACTGGCACCTAGCTGTTTTACTCTTCCTAAAACACAAATTCTAGATTTATTTCAGTATTTTTTCAAACTTATTCCTAAACTTTCTGTTCCCTGTCTTACTTGTTTCTATTGTCCAATACAGAATTTAGCAAAGGATGTTCTATAGCCTCAAAATTATTTAATCAAGGTTAGCAAGCACGGCCTCTGAGATGATCTCAGAAGCAACTGGACATAGACCTATGGTCAGGTAACACAGCACTGTGGGTCAGGACTTGACTTGGCTCAAGCTGTGTAGGTGGAGTAGGCAAGGATGTTCTGCAATGGGAGCAATATTTATGTCCCAGTGAATCAGAATCAAGATTTTCCCAGTCTCAGCCTAAGACTGAGGAGATGTACCTGTCCTTAGCACATACTTAAATAGCCACTGCAGATTGTTCCAGCCCATTACAAGTTCAGACCAGACCTAGAGAGTCTAGGGAGACTTTCTGAAAGTCTAATGTGGCTTTCACCCACTCAGGGCTTATCAACAATAAAACTGATGCTTTCCATAATCTGCAGAACATAGCTAATCTTTAAACCTTGTGACTCTACTGACTTCCTTTTGCTCTTTAACCTAGAAATCTTTGATGTGGTTAAGTATCAAAGTCCAGGTTTCAAAAGGCAGATGATGTAGTCTCTCTAACTCAATACTCACATTTGACTATGATTAATAGTAGCATAACAGGTAATATTTACTGTCTTCATTGTTCTCTTTCTCCTTTGCTTCTTTCCTTTCAATCCCTGACAATAGCAGGGAGTGAACCTAGGATAATCCCATACGGCATGCGAGCAGTCTACCTAAGCTACTCCAGTCAACAGACAATATTTCAATACTCCCTAAATTTGAGTCATATGGCTAAATATTCAAAGCTCAAACTGGGGGCAGGTGGCTCACACCTGTAATCCTAGTTACTCAAGAAGCTGAGATCTGAGGATTGTGGTTCCAAGACAACCTGGGCAGAAAAATTCTCATGAGGCTCTTATCTCCAATTAACCAGTCAAAAACTGGAAGTGGCGCTGTGGCTTAAGTGGTAGAGCAGAGAACTAGCCTTGAGCACAAAGAGGCTCAGGGACAGAATCCAGGACCTGAGTTCAAGCCCTGCAACTGACAAAGACAAAAAGCAAACAAACAAACAAACAAAACTCAAAACTTTTAGTGGATCAGTTCTATTGCTTCCTTAATCACCTTCCCTGAAATATAAGACGTAAACTGCCTTATTGCCTGCAATAGAAAATCCAAATTCTTCAGTAAGGAATTCCCTTTACAACTATGCCCTCATTTATCTCTCCAAATAAGGCACATCTCACTCCTCCATGCCTTCACATATGCTTTTTCTCTCCCAATGGCTTTTCTTCCTTCTCTATTTTCACCAGTTAAATGTCACCTCCTCTGTAAGGCTACCTCCAGGTCATATGAGTTGGATCCTCTCCTTTATATTCCTACACTATCATGTAAACACTGCTAGTGCAGGCCCCATCACTAAGTAGCATGAGCCACTGAGAGGTGGAGTACTCAACCACATAGCCCAGAACAAGCACTCAAGTACTTGTTGAATATATGCCAGAGGGAAACTGCAGAGCCCATGGAACTGTCAGGCTAAGCTACTGAGGTGTAGTGCTTCTTGATCACCCTACATTTCTGAAGTCCTTTCCTCCATCTTGCTCACCCAGCTCTAAGGCTTTAAGTCTTCTGTCATCTGGTAACTAATTCTGCTAAGACAGTACATAAAATATTAAACAATTTCTCAGAAAAGGCAATAATGTCAGGAGGAATTTTGTTAATTTTGCGGGAGATATTTGAGTGGAACAGAAAGGGAAATGTTTGTAGTCTTACAAACACCACCAAGACACCCTAATGTCTTCCTCCAACTAACCTCCTACAGAGCTACACTTCCTGTACCTGTCAACCAGCTCAATTAGGCCATCTCATGCTGAGGCAATTTCCTCAGCTTAGGTAAATAATAAGTAAAGATTTCAGAAAGACTGTCAATTTCCACTCTGTGAAACCAAATCCTGATTCTTCAAACAAGCCCACAAAATTCCTACATAAAATTTACTGTTGACTTCTCCCACAAACAGGCACCAGTGGTCTATGTTAGAGAATCCTGCAACCATCTCCTAATTGTTCAGTAAAACAATCTATTTAGTGTTTAAAAGGAAAAAAAAAAAGTAATAAGATGGGCACCTGCAATCCTACCTACTCAGCAAAAAGCTGGAAATGAAGCTGCAGTTCAAGTAGTAGAGTACCAGCCTTGAGCAAAAAAAGCTAAGGGGCAGTGCCTAGGACCTCCGTTAAAGCTCCAGTACTATCATGTGCGTGCATGCTTGCGCACATGTACATGTACATGTGCACACACATGCACACACATAATAAATCTAAGGTGAGGTCTAGTTCTATCCTTGTTATCTACTCTATTCAACACCATAAACACCCATTGCATCAAAATCTGATGGGACATTAACCACATAGTCTAAGGGCATCAATGATAGATAATCTTGATTGTTAACTATATTGAACTTTCTAAGAAACACCTAGATTACTAAAGCACAGGCTGGAGGTGACTGCTTTTCCAGAGTCCATGAAGGTTCCCCTCTGTTTCCTGTCTGCCATGATGTGAGCTGCTGCATTCTTCTTACTGACCTCCATAAGTAAACAACCTTGGTCACAGTCTTACTGCCATGGTATCCTGCCTCACATCTGGCCCAGAAACATGAGCCAAGTGACCATGAACTGAACCCTCTAAAACCATGAGCCAAAGTAATGCTTCCCCCTTTGAAGTTATTCTTCCAGGTTTTGTCACAGCTATACAAAAGTAACTAATACAACATCCAATAATCCCATAACCACCTCCCTGAGTTCTTTCCCTCTTGCTAAACAACCCTGAGACCATTCCTGTTTTTTCTTCTTTGGTATAGTGCCACCACTGAATTCACAGTTCATCACCTCTACCACACCTGGCTACAAACTCCAAACAATATACCTCTAGCTCCCTGCCTCACTTTACAAAAAGATTTTACTGAAAACAGCTATAGAGTCAAGTAAGATAAAAAATTTTAAAAAGGCAAACAAGAAGGAGGTAAATAACAAAAATTCAGTCAAGAAAACCACTACCCACAGGAAGACAGATCCCTTTTCCAGCTATGTAGCAGGAAGATATGATCCAGGAGAAATAGTTGAGTCATTTTACAGCTCTAGACAGGGTCCTTAGAAAAAGTCTGGTTGTACATGGTGACAGTAATCCATTTAAAAAAAAATAACCCATGATACCAAAGGGGAGGAACACAAAGGTGTAATGCCTATGTATCTCAGATCATATAAAACAATACTTATCGAAATGGAAACAAGAAGCTTTTTGTTGTTGTTTCTGTTTTCTTTTCTTTTTGTCTTATTTGTTTTTCTGTCTTTGGGAGGGTTACAGGGGCACAGAAATGGAGGGTAAAAGGTTGAACAGATGCAGTAGTGATACTCACTGGATACTATGTTGAAAATGAACTATACAACTTATGGGTGGGGATAGGAGGGAAAAACTGGATAGAGGGAAAAAGTAAAATTGTCCAAAAAGAATGTACTCTTTACCTGACTTATGTAACTGTAATCCCATTGATCACCACTTTTATAATAACAATTAAAACTAAAAATAAACTTAAAATAAATTATACCTAGTTTTGTATTTATAGAAAAACTAAAAAGATAACAGTTCCCAAATACCCCTTACTGAGTTTCCCCTGCCATAAACATCTTGCACAAATACTGTACATTTGGCCCCATTAGTGAACAGTGTGAACATATAGTTAACTAAGGCCCTTACTTTCAAACCTCTTTATTTCCTAATGCCCTTTTACTGTTCCAGAATCCTATCCAGGACACATATTTAATTCTTACGTCTTCTTAGGCTTCCCTTGGCTGTTTCTCTGACTCTTATTTATGATGGCCATGACAGTTTTGAGGAATACCTCTACACATTTCCTCACTTTAGCCTACAATTTGCCAATTTTCTCTTCTGACATATTTTAAAAAATAGCAGTTTGTTCATAATAGCAGTTTGGCATTTGCAACTAGCAACGTGGGACCCCTGTCAGAGGGTCTGTGAGGTTGAAGTTTTCATAACAGTACTAAGATATTCTTTGTCTTTTTAACTCTCATTCTTTCAGCTGTAGAGTTTTCTAGTATCTACACTGGATTTGATGACATCATCACTCTGATGACTATTGAGATGAGTACTTGTGAACACTATGCTTGTGTATACTTGTGTTTTCTCAAACTTTCTATGGTAGTAAGTTTAGCATATAAATGTGCATTTTTAGAGACTCAATTTGTTCTCAGTATTTCCACTTATTACTCACTTTTAATCACTTATATCTGCTACAGTTAGATATCTGTGAGAATTTTTTCATTACGTCAATATATCACAAGAAACTGAAATGTAAACAAAGGAGATGCAAAAATCTAGCTATCTTCTACTAAGGGAGTGTGTGTGTGTGTGTCTGTCCTGGGGCTTAAAGTCAGGGCCTGGGCACTGTCCTTGTAAACAAAGGAGATGCAAAAATCTAGCTATCTTCTACTAAGAGGGGTGTGTGTGTGTGTGTGTGTGTGTGTGTGTGTGTGTGTGTGTGTGTGTGTGTGTGTGTCCTTGTAAACAAAGGAGATGCAAAAATCTAGCTATCTTCTACTAAGAGGGGTGTGTGTGTGTGTGTGTGTGTGTGTGTGTGTGTGTGTCCTTGTAAACAAAGGAGATGCAAAAATCTAGCTATCTTCTACTAAGAGGGGTGTGTGTGTGTGTGTGTGTGTGTGTGTGTGTGTGTGTGTGTGTGTGTGTGTGTGTGTGTGTGTGTGTGTGTGTGTCACTGTCCTTGAGCTTTTGTGTTCAAAGCTAGTGCTCTGCCACTTAAGCCACAACTCCACTTCTGGCTTTTTAGTAAACTGGAGATAGAGTCTCCCAGACTCAAAGCCCAGGCTGGCTTTGAACTACGATCCTCAGATCTCAGTCTCCTAAGTAACTAGGATTATAGGTGTATGCCACTGGCACATGGCTAATTTTTAAGAGTCTAAAAAAGTCCAAACTCTAAACTTCCAAGAATTGCTACCCTTAAACATTCCTTCCACTCTTCTAGACCCTCCTCAAATTTCTACTTCCCTACAGGCTTCAGTAACCAGTTTGATTTTCCATGAGGTTAAAGGAGGAAAGGGCTAAGAGATATTTTTTACAAAGAAAAATATGTGGCTTATTTTTACTAAATACCATTCCAATAAAAATAAAGACAATTGTATATAGGGCTTATAACATATGTAAAAGTAGAAATAAGATTTGGATGGGGAAAAATGGAAACATAATGCTATATACAATTTATACCACAGGCAATTATATAGAAGCACTTCCAGAAATTGACTATGTGATCAACCTGAAAAAATATTAAAGTGATTTTTTTCAACAGTTTTGCCCGTCAAAACTGTCTTCCCAATATAGTATTAATAAATACTGGAAGTGTATCTTATGTTTAATGATGAAAATAGAATTTTACTTCAATGATGTATATTTATGACAAAGATTGATGCAAAATACTTTACTGAATTAAGAGAAAGGTTGCATGTCTTCATTTGATTTTTTTTTTGCCAACCTTGTAGAGGAGTTTAATGTGTACAGTATATTTTTATTGGTCTCTATCATTTGTCATTTCATGTCTAACATGGCATTTGGTAACCACGGTTGTAAATGTGATTGTAACCACATTTACCAATGGATTCTACATACAGTTGTACAACTTTTATAAAACCGACTTTACTCAATAGCTGATTATTGACCTCCTTTTCTGTTAAGTCTAAGTCAAAGTCCAGTAAGATTAACTGGAACCCTTTTAAATGAAACGTGTTTTCTATGCTAGTATGCAAAGAACAATTCCGAACCTAAGAAAAACTGGATTCCTTCAAACCTTAGTTTGAGGAGCACAAATCCCAATGGAGTGCTCTTGTTCTCAAGCAAATTCCTAATAAGATGGCAGAAAGTCTTTTTCATCCTTCTACCGAAAATAACCCGGAAAGGGACAGCCTGAAAACTAGAAGCAGATATGAGCTAAAGGCTTTAAGTTTTCCATTTTAAGGGGGGGAAAAAATGTTTAAATGTTAAATCCCAGACAGATCATAAAAATTCCTCATCTTTTTACAGTAAGTAGTGAGCGCTTCAGTATGCTAGCGTGGGGGGGGGGGGGGAGAAGAGAGGCGGAAAAGGAGGGGGAGAGGGGAGGGAGAGTCTGAGTTTTATCATTATGACTTCAAAAACAAGAAATTACCGAACGAGGATAATCACACTTGTCCAATTAAGGACGCATCTACCGAAACCAACTTTCTAGCTCGAGCGCTCCGTGTGTTGGGATGATTCACTCGGCCTGCCAAAAACAAGACCGTACTTGTTTTTTCCCTCAAATGTCAATGGCGCAAAAGGAGTTCCACTCAAATCCAAGGGCCGGGCTCAGAAAACAAGATGCGGAAGGAGCGACGGACCTTAACACACCCAGGCCCGCCTTGGGGTGGGGGCCCCAGCTGCGCCCCGGCGCCTTTCCCCAGCACGCCCCCCCCGACCCCCGCCCGCAGCCCGGTGCCGGTCGGGCTCGCCAGGGGCCCTGCCATTTCAACTTCCCGATTCACTCCTCCCGGAGTTCGGAGACGACCAGGCCCAGGTGACCCAGGCAGGTAGACTGCATCACCACTCACCTTGCTGGGCCCCCAGGGCGTAGCCGGCCCGGGTTCAGGTGATGCGACGCCGACCAGATCCATTCAGCGAAGAAGACAGGGACAAGAACAGGGCAGAGAGGTGGCAGGTCGAGAAGCAGGCTCCTCCGAGGAGACACGCGGGGCTGGGGGTGACCGGATGGTGGTGTGGGACCTACGGTGACAGATGGCGCCGGCCGCGTCCGGAACTAGACTTCTTCTCTTCCGCCCGCACCGCCCTACTCGCTTCCGATTGGCTGCCAGCTCCGGGACGGCCCTCACTTCCGGCCACTGCCTAGTGGGAGGCTGGACCAAAGGTTCCGCTGTCCGCAGCAGCTGGTGGTGATCCGGAGCTGGGTGTGGCTTCTTGGGTGTGGCTCCCCTGGGTCCAGGCTCTACTTGTTCCCACCCCGCCCTCTTTTTCCTTCTATCCCAGGCAAGCAGCCTTTGCGTCTGATTACACCAGGCAAGTGGACGATAAATAAACAAACCAGGCGTTTTCTGTTCATTATTTCCTAGCACTATTCTACGTTGGGAGACAGAAAAACGGCAGGTTTGGAGAAGGAAAGGGAGTGAAGTAGACAAGTGGATCCTCATTTTTGCATTATAGAGTTGTCGTGTGGGGACAATGTAAGATGTGTTATTGAACAAAAACAAGACTGCATGTTTAACTTTTTTATTTTATAAGGAGATTCTTAGTTTTAAAAATAAACATTACATAACACCGCATCCGTGGACGATTCCAGGTATTTTGTTTACTCCTCAACATGATCATGAGGGGTAAATTCTCCTCATTTCTCAATTTTACTGATTATAACACGCAGAGGAATGGAAGCTTATGGAAGATCAACAGCTAACAAATGGTAGAGTTAAGAAGTAGTAGACCCAACCAGTCTGGGTTCACAAAAATATAGTAAATAGGATGGCTTTTCAGAATTCTGGAAAGACATACTGAAAAGAGTTTTCCATAAATCTCACTTCTGAGACCTAGGATGTAGACTTCAATTACTCAGAGTTTTCATACAGCCCTTGCCTCCTTGCATTCAGATCAGACAGGTTCTGAATCTTTCAAACACTCCCATTTTTTTTTTTAAAAAGGCAAAATTTTAGGTGTATAACAGCATGCAGACCTATGTTTGGTCTGCATGCCATATTTATGAATGTGTGTGGAAGCTGTGTTGTGCTTTAGTGTTAAGGTTATAACTGGAAAAATGGATGTAACCAGAAATGAAATGGACTTTTTAATTTCTAGTAAGAAAGAACCAGGTGATGTGCACTGGTGGCTCACACATGTAATTCTATCTACTCAGGAGACAGAAATCTGGAGATCATAGTTTGAAGCCAGCCTAGTCAGGAAATCCATGTGACTCTTATCTCCATTAAAAAGCTGAAAAGGAGCTGTATCTCAAGTGGTAAAGCACCAGTCTTGAGTGAAAAGGTCCCATTACCAAAATATCATCATCATCATCCTTATCAAGAACAAGCAAAACGAGAAAAGGAGAAGAATAAAGAGCCAGGAGAGAGGATTATATAAGTTATTGGAGCATCCATTAAGTGAACCAAGAATTTATAAAGGCTAAAAGGAAAAGAGAAAAACAGAAAGGCTGTGATGCAATGCATGATGAAATGTGCTGGTGCGGGACCATCGGGGAGACATCAGAAAAGGACAGGAAATTGATAGTAAAAGTAAGAATCTGAATATTTGTTTTAGATTATGGACTCCATAAATTCTACTGGGTATTTGCTTAAATCCCCAACAATTAAGGGACAATTATGCATTAAAAACAGGTGCCTGCCTACATGGGCCTTCAGGTCCTGAACACAAATACAACTAAATATCAGAGATGCTAAGACAGGCGCAATTGCAGGGACTATTGCATTTGTAAAGGAGGAAAGTCAGATCCACACAGCTGTTCAGGAAAGGCTGTTTAGAGATAACACTTGAGTTCAGGCTTTCAAGATGATCAAGCATGCATTGTGAGAAGAGTTGTAGGGTGGAGTGAGGGGAGCTATATATGGGTAATGTTCAAATAGGGCATGATCAGATCTAGAGTACAACAGGAAAAAGTTAGATTGAAGAAGGTAGGGAAGGGCCAGTGCCCTTGAGCATAAAAGCTCAGGGGCAGCACCTGGGCCCTGAGCTCAAGCCACATGACTGGCACACATGTATGCATGCACCCACGCATGGGTGTACACACACGTATAATGTTTTGTAGATATCAGAGGATAACTTTTCTATTTATTTTTCTAATTATTCCTCAATATTTTGTCCTTTTGGATGCTACTTTTAGTGTAATCTCTTTAATTTCCTCTTCACATTGTTCATGACAGTGTATGGCACTGTGATTGTATATATTGATATTGTATCCTGAAACCTTATTGGACTCACCTGTTTTACTAGTATTTTAATATATTATTTGTGATCTTTAGAGACAAAATTCTGGCATTCTATAATATAGTCTCCCTTTTTCTTTTGAAATCTAGGTGCCTTTTATTTTCTTTCTTGTAATATTGTCTTGGCTACAGCCTCTAGTAACAATGTCAAATGGAAGTGACAACGTGGATTTTTCTTATTGCAGTTAGAGAAGTAATGAACCAATGTTCTCTCTTCCTCTCTTATTTTTATTACATACATTAAAAATACAAGGAAGGTTCATTAAGCAGTATTCTTGCTATTTAGCCCTGTATGAGTTATATGTTCTGTTCCTCTCATAAATATTTTTATTATTTTGAGAAAGTTTTCTTCTATTCCTGATTTTTTGAATGCTTTTTTTTTCTTTTTGTCAGTCCTAGGGCTTGAACTCAAGGCCTGGGTGGTGTCCCTGAGCTGCTTTTGCTTAAGGCTGTCACTCTAGCATTCTACCATTGCCACTACCACAACATTACTTCTGGGGTTTTTTTGAATAGTTTATTGGTGATTAGAGTCTCACAGACTTTCTACCTGGACTGGCTTCAAATCGTTATCCTCAGATCTCAGTCTCTGGAGTACCTAGGATTACAGGTGTGAGACATTGGTACCTACCTTTTCTAAATGTTTTTATCTAGAAGGAATGCTGAATTTTATCAAATTACTTATTTGTGTCTATTGAAATGATCACTTTTTTACTTTGTTGATATTTTGTATTATATTAATTATCTTTACATGTTAAATCAGACTTCTATCTTGTGATAAATTCTATTTCCTCAAGGTGTATAGTCCTCTTTTATTTTGCTTGTTCTCTCTCTCCCTTTTTCTCTCTCTCCCCCCCTCCCCACTCTCTCTCACTCTGTGTGTGTGTGTGTGTGTGTGTGTGTGTGTGTGTGTTTTACTGGAAACTGCAAATGCTCTAACACAAGCCACGCTCCATGCTCCAGTCCTTGTGTTTGTAGGGTTTTGTTGTTGTTTGGTTTTGTTTGGTGCCAGTTCTGGGCTTGAACACGGCCTGGGCACTATCCCTGAGCTTTTTCACTCAAGACTGATGCTCTACTAACTTGAGCCACAGCCCCACTTCTAAATTTTTTTTTTTAGTAGTTAATTAGCATGGACTTTCCTGCCCAAGCTGGCTTAGAACCGTGATCCTCAGACATCAGCCTCCTGAGTAGCTAGGAGCCAATGCCCATCTGTAGTTTGTTTTTGAAAGAACATCTTGCTAATTTTTCTGGGTCTGGCTTTGAACTTGAAATCCTTCTGCCTCTGTTTCTTAAGCAACCTAGGATTACAGCCATGGGCCACCATGTCCAGCTACTTTTGCTGAAGTTTTTTGAAGATATTTACATCTATATTCATATGATATATTGCTATTCTGTCTGATTTTTACACAGATAGTTCAAAAAGTATGCTGTTGTTTCCACTATCTTGCAAGAATTATTCATGTGTTGTCATGAAAATTTATTATTAACAACTAGGCATGGTGGAGGTGTATACTTATAATCCAAGTTATATTGCATTCTCTTCTTTACTCCCAGATCATCAGCTTTACTAAGCAACGTGTGTGGGAGGGGAGGGACATTGGCATGGTGCCTTAGGTTTTTTTCTCTCAGGTTGGTGTTCTACCACTTGAGCCACAAGTTCACCCTGGAATTTTTGTGATTAATTGAAAATTAGAGTTTCACAGACTTTTCTGCCTGGGATGGTTTTGAACAGCCACCTTTAGATCTCAGCCTCCTGAGTATTTAGGATTATAGGCATGAGCCATTGGTGCTCAGCTTTCACTGAGATTTCTTAGGCCATCTTCGTATATAGTTATGCTATAGTTCAAAATTATTTACCCTCTTTTATTCCGTCTCTCTTTCCCTTGATCTTCCTAGATAGTCCCATAGTTAGAATCATGTTCTATGAAAATATAATTATATGTTCATGTCTATAATAGATATGTCTGCTTCTAGGTCTTTTTATATTGAATGTTTTAGGTGACATTTTAAAATTCCATTTGTACATCACTTCATTTATGTCTTTATATGTCCCATGAAGATTTGAACTCAGGGTCTTATGCTTGCTAGGTAGATGCTCTCCACGTTAAGTCATATCCCCAGCCTTTTATACTTTAAGTATTTGGGGGATAGGGTCTGAGTTTTTGCCCATAGCTGTTTGGCCTAAACAGAGATCTTCTTATTTCTGCTTACAGAAATAGCTGGATGATAGCTGTGAATCACCACACCTGGCCTTCTCTTTGAAAACTTTTAATTTCATTCATACTTCACATCACATATGCATTCATCTTTTGATGGAGTTATTTGCTGTGCTTAGTTTGTATAAGGCACTAAGCTAAGCAAGGAGGAACCTTGCTCTCCAAGACTGCCATGTGGCTGAAAAGAAGGAAACAGCACACTCAGAATTTGACACAGAACTTCTCAACTGTGTGACCCAGAAAGAGCAAGAAAATGCCTTCTGACACTCTGTGTCTTTGGTACTTCTTGCTTTGTTTTTACCATTATTGAATTTTTATCTAAGTATTTACTGCCTGAAAAGTCGTGAATATGCCAAGTCAGTATCAAACTAAGACTATGTATATCTGCTGATAGCAGTGGCTCATGCCTGTAATCCTAGCTACTCAGGAGGCTAAGATCTGAGGATTGAGGTTTGAAGCCAGCCTGGGCAAGAACATCTGTGAGATTCTTATCTCCAATTAACCACAAAAAAAAGCTGGAAATGAATTAGTCTTGAGTAAAAAAACTAAGGGACAGTGCCCAGGCTTTGAGTTCATGCCTCAGTACCAACACAAAACAAACAAATAC